ACAGCACATTTTTCTGATAATATTATGTTGTGGTGTCAAAAATGGATGAAATCGAGTCAAGAAAAATAAATGTAAAAGCAACGCTCTAAGAGATTATATAGGTCTCTTAAATACATGCCAGTTGTTTGTTTGCTTCACAACTCCCTAAAATTTGAATAAAATGATACAAGTGAAACTATAGCAGCCAAGACCGCTTAAAGAAGATATGTTGAGAGCACACCACTTTTAAGTAAAACCACTTGCAGACCGACCTAAACTTTTTCGGTATATTTATATTGAGTCCTTTTTAAACTGTTGGTCGTAAACTTAGACACACCTATTATTCTTGTGTTACTAAAAGTATCATAGGTTTGATTTTACGTGTATTTTGGAACGAAGAGACCACTTAGAGCAAACTTTTATATTCTGAATTAAAATATTCTAAAAATATATTTTTTAGTTCTGTTCTCCTGAGATAATGTTATAGTCAGGCGCTCTGTACCTAAGTGCAAACCATTTATTTGAGAGCAGCTTTTGCAACTGAAGCCTAACTCAGAGATTGGAATAGCGTACCGGTTCATCCAAGTAAAGATCAACGAAAAGTGATTTTCTTTGGGCAGAAAGTAATTAGTATATTGCTTATAGATTTTTAGCTATTGTTAAGTTAATTAGATTAAATATTTATTCTGATCTTCCTGATCTGAGACTACACTGGGGCATCACATTACGCAAATATAAATCCCTTGTGATAAGTGCAGTTTATTTGTTTAAATTGTGACAGATCATGAGCTAAGAACTGTGAGAAAAGCGTTTATTTTAATGAATTTAGAAAGGAGTTAAATTGTCAAACAAGCTTTGTAATTTTTAATGTAAATATAAACTCTTTCAAATTACTAAATTTTCCTATGAATTCCTACTACCTCACTAGGTAGTTAAGTAAGGTAGTCTTACTAACTTACTTAAGCACTTTCACTAGTAATGTAGTCTTTCTAACTTACTTAAGTACGACTTAAATATTTATTCATAGAATTATTCACTAGTAGAGATAAAAATAATTGCAATTATTTCCCGTTAACCTTAGTTTACTTGCATTAGCAAATGACAATATTAAGCAGAATAAAAGTTTCTCAATTCGGGGTAAAATTAAGACCCAAACCAAAAAGTTCAAAGCAAGTAAGCAATAACACCCACCTAAGGCACGAATAGGGTTTTTAATTGTTGTTGTTTTTGCTTTCTACACAAGAAATCTTCATCAACCCTAGATTTCATTACTTGATAACTTCATTACACGCTCAAACATTTTAACTAATATACATACATACAAACATATATGAGGATGTGGTTGCAGTAAACCTTAATGGGTATGACTTTTTTTTTTTTGGAAAATAATAATTTTAAAAAAATAATGGGATTTTTAAGCTATGCATGAACATTTTTTTGTATGTATTATTTATATATTTTCTAGTATGCTTTCTATGGTTCCAGTATGCTTGATTTAGATTTTAAAATCTTAAACCAAATTTAATGAAGGCAGAATAATGTTTTTGGACAAATTTTAGATTATTTGAAAGAGAGATAACCCAAAACAGAAAAAGTTATAAAACTTTAGAATTAAATTAACATAATATACTTAAGGTATCTTAGATCAAAAAGTATTTTAAAATAATTGCGATATTCACAAATATTTCAAAATTAATTTTTATTGAAGCGTTTAGGCCCATCTAGGACCTTAAAAAAACTTTGACAATATATTCTGGAACTAAGCAAAATTTTATTTGTCTGAAGTCTCTAAACTGTACTTTAAGCCAAAAAAACATTAATCAATTTGGTGAAAATTTAAGACTGACCCAACAGCTTAAGAAAATGTTTCATCTTTCTTAAAAAAAAATATTTGAAATTCTAAAACTTTATATATTTCTAGCAGTCATACCCCTTAAATACCACATAGCAAAAAAAGTAGTAATAATAAGTGAGTGATCCACATATTCGCTATACCCGTATGCAAGTAATTAAAATAAGTGCTTACAACCCCTTTTAATTGTATATTAATGACTTTGGTTGATAAGCGAAATGAGCGCAAGCGATTAGAGGAAACGTATATACAAGTGTGTGGCGTTATCAGTAATTTCGAACTCATAGCGGGAAAATAGAGATAACCGCAAATACATATACACACTTACACATTTACACACAACGGTACATATCTGGCATGACATTCCGAGCATTAACCAGCAAAAATTTACGTTACGCGTGATTACGAAACTTTTGTGACCTTGACTCAATCGATAGCATACGATAACGGCACGTAAAAATAGTTGAAATTTGAGCAAAAATATTATTACATTCATTTGTGTGTTAAATGTTGCTCATACGTCGTGTGTGGCACAATAAAATTTTACAAGTAACAAAGCAGCATAAATTTATTTTTATTCATGCAATTAATTTAAGCGAAGAGAATTCACAAGGAAAATTTATCAAATGATAAACAATAAAGATGTGGTTATTGAAACATATTAATGTAAACATGGATTTTGTTATAAACGTAGGCATACTCAAATGTTGCTCATACGCCATGTAGTAGGTATTTACTTTTGCCACACATTAAATATAATATGTACTATGTAATGAAGAAAAAGTTAATACAATCTGAGCTCGAACTGCAATATACAAGTGCAATTAAAGATTCTCACATCAATTAATTGAAATTTTTAAACACTTTTATATGTGGAAATAAAAAAAATATGGTATACGTGTCTACCAAAAAGATTGACGTGATTTTGACAACTCGTGACGGCTATGTTTGTTAACAGATTTGTGTCAAATTTTGTCAGTGTGTTTGCATTTCATCACTTCACGTTTCACTTTGGTACAACGCTTGAAAATTGCCAAGATTTTTACGCAAATTTACGTTCTCCGGAAATTTCGAAAAATCATCTTCTCAGATGAGACCGATTTCTGGCTTAACGGCTTCATCAGCTAACCAAATTGTCGCTATTGGGGAGAATAAAATCCTCGTGTGATTTAGAAAATGCAATTGCATACCAATAACGAGCATTATAAAACTATGTTGACCGACTTATTTTCCAGAATTTGACGAAATTGACGCGGACGATCGCTATTGGCAACAAGATGGTGTGCGCTTCATGTTTCACGTCAAAATATGGAGAGGGCCATCGAGAAATGATCGCCAAGCTCAGGCGTTTTAACGCCTCGAGTTATTTTCTCTGGGGATCATCGAAAATTGGCGTAAACGGGTGGAGATATGCAAACGGAGCTATGATGGCCTTTTGGTCGATATTCTGTTTAAATCATAAATGGCATAAAATGCATTACAATTATCTGCATTACAAAAAGAACCCATTTTAACTAAATTTTAGTGTTTATTTCACATTCATCCCGTCGTACTTTTTGGTAGACCCTTGGTAGACTTTGTTTTTTTTTTCGAATAATACTTAATTTAAGAGCCTGTATCGAAAAGCTTAGAATTATTTTTCACTAGTAAACCAGTATTGAAATGTTTCCTTTCATTAACATGCATAGAGCAAACCATATGGCAGCTTATATCGACAAAACATTACATACAAGTATTATCAACTTTTGATGAAAGTGCTGGCAAAAAACAGACCGCATGGAAATGATTTATTGAGGACCTATGCTCCAGTGGGAGCTACAGAAAATGATGATAATGAATCGGAAAGTGAGATCTTTGCATATGAAGACAAATCATACAATATTCCGTCATCGCTTCGCCATTTCTCTTTTCGATATCTTTGAAAAATTGTACATGGAAAAACCGCACCAAAGTTAACGAGTTAAATTCGTTACAAGAGACTATGTGAATACGAATTAAATTCGTTTGATCCCTGCTTCAGTGCTTCCAAGTTTTGTTTTACTGATTTTGAACTAGTTCTACCATTGTGAATGCCTCTAATGACAAATTGCTATTAAAAATGAAAATTGTTGCTATATATATGTTTTTCTTATAGATTTATTATAAAAAAAGCTAGGCATGGACGCTACTCAAAATCAATGAATTACTAAAATATTATTGGATCATGTGTTATCCCCTGACATTTAATGCATGGTTGCATTGCAATTGCTGCTAGTCTATTTGAACAGATAGTATATATATTATACAAATACACATTCAAAAAATAATTTAATTAACATTTTTCACATTCCCAAATACGGTATTAAAAATTTACGTCCCTAATTCAGGGTTCCTAAAATATTCTGCCTGTTAACTGCGTTAGGGTTCCTGTAATATATTTGGAACTTTATTCAGAGACTTGAAAATGTAAGAGATTGAAATATTGAATATCACTTCCTCCTTAGAAATGCTTTGCCACAACTCTTCTAAGAACTTCGAAACCAGATTATAACTATATAGCTGTATGTATATAAACAAGTGTCTGTGCCAAAGTTTGGTTTGACTCGTTTTAATAAAGTTCAACTTGTTCAAACTAAGGGCTTGCGGTTATTGCTAACTTAATTATTACAATAATGCAATTACAGCAACAATTAGAGAACATGCAACGTCTTCAGCTTGCTGCACACACAACGCTTGATAACTAAACAAAAAACAAAACACATAGAAGACTGCAAGGAGAAACCAACAAAACAACATGAAAGTCCAAAAAAAGAAACAAAAACAAAAACAAAACAAAGTTTGCTTGCTGCTCACCCACAAAATGTCAATGCAAAATTCATTTCGCTAATGAAATTAAATGGAAATTCTTTTCACTTTTTCAGCTTTTTTATTCTTGCTGTTATCTTAAACTGTTTTATTTTTTTTAATGTACAGCAAAATCCGATTACTTCCATTTGTGTTTTTTGTTTTATTTTTTTTTTTCATAAAATATGTGCATATCTAAGAGAAAACAATAATAATATGCAAATTTTACATTATCTCGCATTGTTTTCACTTTCTCTTTCTCCTTTGCATATGATTCCTTCTGCTTTGCGTGGCGCTTTCCTGTCGCACAACGTCATTGTATACATGCGTCTTCCTGTCGGCACAGTTTCCTGCAATGCGCGCGCTCTCCATCTCATCGGCAGATGCATTCATTCTGGTATATGATGTCACCGATGCGTCCACATTCGAGGAGGTGCGCATGATACGCGATCAAATACACGAGACCAAAGCGACCACAGCTGTGCCCATTGTGGTGGTGGGCAATAAAATTGACCTAGTTGCCGAGAAGGAGGACGCCAGGAAGGTGAGTGAAAAGCTATTTTTCTTTTTAATTTTTATGTGAAATATTCTATTATAAACATTCGAAGACTTAGGTAGGAGTGTATTCAAAAAGTGTAGAATATTTTTGGTTTTCTCCTTAAAAGTAAACGCACTGAGATGTAGGAAAACCAATTCACAAAGTATTTTTTGTGAGCGCTATTAAGTAGCGCTTTAAGCTTTTATCAAAAGTTCAGACAGCAAACAAATGGTTGCAAGCCCAAGGCCGGTTTTGAAAAGACAGGAATAAAAACCTGAAAACAGACACACAGAGAACACTCAAAATTTGGAGAGAACACTTCTCGAAACTTCTAAGTGCCGAAAGCAGTGCTGCGACAGATGAAGGAGAACACTCACCAACAATCCACCGTGACAACATAATCGTCCCACCACTCGATCAGAACGAGCTGAAAACAGCTTTAATGAGGCATAAGAACAACAAAGCTCCAGAGATCGATGGATTACCGGCTGAACTGTTTAAAGCCGGCGGTCAGGAGCTGGAAATACGCACGTTCCAGCTGCTAAGCATTCGGATGAATACATGCCCAATGATTGGAATATGAGTGTACTCGGCCCTATCCACAATAAGGGTGATCCCGCAGTCCGCGCTAATTATGGCGAGAACAGCCTTCTTAACATTGCATATAAGATTCTTTCAACATTATAGTGTGGAAGACTTAAGCCCATTGTAAATAAACTGATTGGATCTTATCAGTGTCGCTTTAGACCCAGAAAATCCAGCGTAGAACAGATTTTCACAATGCACCAAATCCTGGATAAAACCCTAGACAAACAGATCGAGTTGGGATGTATAACGTGCGAGAGATAGAGGCTACGGCCGAAGTTTGGTGACCTCAGCCAGGCCCGAAACACGGTTGTAGTACCCAAAAAAGAGAAGAAGTTCTTCCAGCTATGCAGTTTTTATCTCATTGCTAGTTGAGCGTTCTTTTGGCGCTCGCTTATAAAAGAATGTATTGATTTGAAGTATTAGTAATTTATATATTGTATATTAAGTTTGCCGAGAAGATTGTAACACCCAGAACGAACGTCGGAAACCCTATAAAGTATACACATATATATACAAAAAATGATCAGCGTGACGAGTTGAGCCAATTTATACGGATCGGTCCGTATGTCTGCATATACGCGAACTAGTTCCGCGGTTTTTGAGATATAAATCTGAAAACTTTACGCGCGTTCTTTCCCCCAGAATCAAACATATTGCTCTGATCGAACCAAAGTAGCATAATACATTATCGAAAGTTTTCTAATGAAAAACTTGAGTTAATATTAAATTCGCCATTCCACTACCAATATACCAACAACAGTCCCTCTAAATCCCTGTAAAAGAGTTGCCTAATTGAGCCGCTTGGCACTTGCCCACTAACTAACTAAGCAGCGCTGTAACTACGCCATTAGGAGCTTACAGTTGAGCCAGTGAACAATTTGCTCATTATGCAAACGACTGCTGTTGTTGCTATTGTTTTTGTATTTGTCATGCACCATTTCACACATAATTTAGTTGTAATTTCATGTGCCACTTGTTCGCTTTGGCCTCACGAAAATTTATATTCTGTACACCGTTAAACGGTTGAGCGGACCGATGGGACTCTGAACGCGCGCAAATTTCCAATACAAACTACTGTTATTATTCATCAGCATTCGCTTGATGGCATTCCTAGAGGAATACTTAGAATTGTTAAATTCTTGTTGTGACGTTGGCACAGATTTCTTGTTGCGCCCAAAAGACACCCTTTTTTCAATCACCCGCTCTGATTTTCTCTTTATCTTTCACTCTTTTCCTGTTGCGAAGGTAATAAAAATGCAAATTTGCTTTATTTTAAAATGCTAAATTAACTTGGCTTATTGTTGTTTTTATTGCATTTTAGCATTTGCGTTTTTCGTCTATTTTGTTTTGTTTTGCTGTTTTTTTGGTCGTAAAAAGTTTTTAACATCATCAACAAATCCTGCAATATTCCTCTACAATCTGGCTTTTGGACGGATTATTCGATTCTCGTGCTTGATTGCATTTACTTTTGCTCCAAAAGGAGGCAGCCATAGACGTGCGTGGAGTATTTAATAAAAGGGTTGCGCAGTTGTTAATATATCTTAATTGATTTAAAGTCTCTTAAGATACCTCATATTTAAAGAATTTTTTTCTTCAGTACCAGGTCCATATATATATGTTACGTCGTCTTCAGAATACCTCGAAACGTCGTCATTTGGAACCTCTGAAAAAAACTGTTTACAAATCTCCATAAATAGCAACAGAAAACCGCTTTTTTTCACTTTCTCCCTCTTGGTATCACAAAAGTGACGAGCTTGAAAATCTGATTGCGTCTCGTTAGCACAAACTTAACTCAACTTAAACTAAATCTTATCAGCCCACATTGAAACATGTAAAATTGATTCACAAACCCCACAGGAGGTGACTGGTGACGGCTATGTGCCTCGCAAGACAACAGCTGCTCGCGCACTTTCATTTCTTTTACATACCTTTCCGTTTTTTCTTCGTAAATATTAAAGAAGTTTCAATTTACTTCGACATTTTTGGCTTACACGCAGCATTTAATTCCCTTCCATGCGAGTAAATTCCTTACAAATATACTTTGTATCCCTTTTGTTTTGGGGCTTTGCTAAAGTTTGCTCATTTGGAAGAAATAAACCAAAAATTATGTACTCTGAGTGGCAGTTATTCATGTCTCTTCCATGAATCTTCGTATATATTGTATATATATACGTATATATATATATAGTATAAATATATTATATATTAGGGGTGTACATAATGTGAGTTTTATAAAAAAAAGAATAAAAACCGTTGACTTCGGCTATACCGTAGCTATAATACTGGCTTCACTGGTGCATTTCTTATAGCATACAAGGATATAAAGAGATCTTTATCTTAATTTTTAACGGTCAGTTTGTGTGATCGCTACATGCTATAGCGGTTCAAACTCAAAAGTATAATAGCAGATTGTAGCGTTGCCTTAGACAATAATCTATTCCAAATTTCGTGAAGATAACTTGTCAAATAAAAAAGTGTTTCATACAAGAACTTAATTTTGAACGATCAATTTGTATGACAACTATGTCCTATAGTGGTCCAATATCAGCGATTCCGACGAATTATAGAACGTGTATAAAATTTTAGATCGATATTTCCAAAACGAAGGGGCTAGTTCACATAAATACAGACAGACGAGCAGACAGATTGGCATCGGTAAATCCACTCAGCTCTTCACGCTTTTATCATTTATATATATTATATTATATGTATATACTTTATAGGGTCTCAGACGTTTCCTTCTGCGTATTACATACTTCGTGGCAAACTTAATATCTTCTGTTCAGTGTATAATAAAAGTGTCGCCTTCCACGAATGTTAGAGATAGAATGAGAAAGTCTTAACACCGAGGCAATTATCTTTAATGTTTTGAAGTGAGATTTGACAACTGACATTAGGAGCATCATTAGTTTTCGAAAGGAATTATTCTCTTATACACTATAATTAAAAGAGCAGCAAAGTTTGAGAATATAGCATACCCGAGTGCCGAATCGAAGATGATCGAAATTATGAACTGTTGACGGAGCCAATCGGCGAATTCGAACTTATTTTCTTTCAATATCCACTAAGTTCCTACCATTTCATTTAAAACTATAGTTTTTCGGTTTTTTGGTTTCTCATTTTTGGATTCGCCATTCTCAAGATTGTTGGACAGTATCGATAACATATTGATAAGCTCGGGTCGCGTCACCAGTAATGATGTGTTTGATGAATGCAGGGTGCTCAGCTATGTTGTTAAGCATCTCTTTTGCGAACGCTACTCGACCTCGTTTTTGCAAAGGATTCTGGTCCAGCACTGACACACTTCATGTTGGATCTATGCGTAAGAGATACTGAGATCTTCTGCTATCTGTCTGCTACCAACACGATGATTTTTAAGCACTGAGACTATAATGTAAAAGAATAATAAGATTCGCAAAGGTCGAACGTAACCTCATTATTTCAAATAACCAATAATTCGAAGATATGTTTTTATTTTTTGGTTCAAGTAAGAACATTTCTACTGTACCTATCTATGTTATCTATTTGTACATTCATAAACATTTACCAATATACTCGCATAAGACAATGAAATTTGTTTGTAAGCATTTTTTGACGTTTGTTCGTCAGGCACTCCCACCACAGCAATAAAAGCTGCTAGAAAATATATTTCCTTCTGTGATTTGGCCTGTCGACAGCTTAAGAAAACCGAAAAATCTTCTCGCTTGATTTCGTGCAATGTAAGCAACTTTCTTCTTTGCACACAAGGCTCCTTTAACGGCAGGGATGTGATGCCCATGCGACACATATAAGTATGTATGTAATACATATGTATATTTCTTTCAGCCACTTTCGCTGTAGTTCAGACCGATTACAATGCGCCACGCTCTCCCACTTTAGACACCAAACGAGCTATGGGCTATGAATTTCAGCTTCTGGTAAATACCGATAATTTCAGTTAAAGTTACTGTTGCTCTTCAGATTACCGTTAGCTTCTTTTTGCTGTTTTCGTTGTATTTTCGCCGCCTCATTTTATTGGCCCTCCTACTTACAAGCACATACATATATAATATATACACATATACGACCGGTCTAAGGCACTTTCCTTTTCTCCCATTCCACTCGACCGTTGTTGTTAAATTGTTGCTTTCTCATGTCGCACGCATCATTTCTCACTGACCCGACGCTTTAACAGCCAACTTAGCTTTCATATAAATATGTATGTGTGTGTATATATTTGACTTAATGGATTCTTTGTCGCTTCAATTATTATAAGATTTAATTCATTCGTTGACATAATGGGATTTCTGGACATCTTTCGTATATCTCTTTCACTTTGTTTAATGATCCAATTTGTAGAGCCCTTAATCTGGGCGATTCATAGTTTACTCATAACACGAAGACAATTGTCGGGCCTTAGGTTTAATTTCCTTTTATTTATTGCTGGTTATTTAAAGTTATTAAACACGGTTTAATTGGTTTCACAAGTTTTAGGTTAGGTTTGTCCACGGATATGATGTGTAGGGAAGGAGATTGAGAATGGAATGAAAAATGCTAAGAGCTTTCTGTATTGTCTTCAGCTGATTTACGTAAGCCTTTATATGTATTTCTTCGATGTAAGCATAAAACTTAAATAATGCTTTTCTACGCTTGGCTAAAAATATTGAATGGCGTCAATTGCATGTTTGAATTAAAAGTAACCCTCACTAGTGTAATATTAGGTTGGCCGTTATTTCCCTTCCGCTTTTTTGTCTTTTGAATTTCGCGGCTATGTACAAAGCGCTACAGAGCTCGTATCTGGCAACACTATACATAATTTGAAAGGTCTTGACATAACCTACAAAACAACGCTATGCATGATTAGTTTGGATATTGCGTTCAATAGTTATAGACGTGTAAACATGGAGTTTACTAACGCCGAAATTCGCGCTATTTTAAAGTTTTCCTTCGTTAAAGGCAAATCCGCTAGGGAAACGTTCCGTGAGATTAATGGTGTTTTGGGGGATGGTACTCTATCACTTCGAACCGCAGAGGAATGGTTTCGACGATTCAGAGCCGGTGAAAACGACACCATGGATAAGCCAGCCGGCGGAAGACCTGTGGCGACAAATACCGATCAAATCATGGAATACATCGAGTTAGACCGGCATATGGCATCTCGTGACATCGCCCAGGAGATGGGAGTTAGTCACCAAACCATTTTGAACCATCTGCAGAAGGCTGGATACAAAAAAAAGTTTGATGTTTGGGTGCCGCATAATTTGACGCAAAAAAAACCTTCTGGACCGAATCAACGCCTGCGATATGCTGCTGAAACGGAACGAACTCGTCCCATTCTTGAAGCGGATGGTGACTGGCGACGAAAAATGGATCACATACGACAATATCAAGCGAAAACGGTCGTGGTCGAAGGCCGGTGAATCGTCCCAAACAGTGGCTAAGCCGGGATTGACGGCCAGGAAGGTTTTGCTGTGTGTTTGGTGGGATTGGAAGGGAATCATCCATTATGAGCTGCTCCCATATGGCCAGACGCTTAATTCTACCATCTACTGCGAACAACTGGACCGCTTGAGGCAGGCGATCGACCAGAAGCGTCCAGAATTGGCCAACAGGAAGGGTGTAGTGTTCCACCAGGACAACGCCAGACCACACACTTCGTTGATGACTCATCAGAAGCTACGGGAGCTCGGATGGGAGGTTTTATCGCATCCACCATATAGCCCGGACCTGGCACCAAGTGATTACCATCTTTTCCTGTCCATGGCGAACGCGCTTAATGGTGAGAAGTTGGCCTCAAGAGAGGCCTGTGAAAATTAGCTCTCCGAGTTTTTTGCCAATAGGGACGCAGCCTTCTACGAGAGGGTTATAATGAAATTGGCATCTCGTTGGCAACAAGTTTACGAACAAAACGGCGCATATTTTAACTAAATCCGATCACTGTAACACTTTTTATAAAGCATTGAATGAAGAGCAAAAAAGCAGAAGGGAAATAACGGCCAACCTTTATATAAAAAAAAAACTTCTTCTCCTTGGGAGAAAATTTCATTTATTTAGGTTTTCTGCAGGCTGCAGTGATATATGATATATTTTTTGATATATTAGTTAGAAATACACATTACCACAGCGAGATTTCAAAATGGAATGAAGCCCTCGAGTGTGTTTCTACTAGAAAAAAGTTTCTTATAAAGTTTACTACTTCATGGTTTACTACAAATTTGCGGAGCTGGGACGAAATCACTGGAAACTGTAAATCCAATGAGCTTCCAAGGAAGAGATCTCTTCTTTCTGCATCATCAAAATTTTTCTTTCGCTAGACCGAGTTTGAAACAACTTGGACGCGTACATTCAGACAACTAAGCGATTTGATTGAAATCGAAATTAACGGTTCGCTGGTACATAAGGGTTCCTTGATCCATACCTAAGCTTTTCCAACAGATTGACGTTTCACCAGTCTAAATAAAAAGCTCGGTGATCTCTGCCGCAGAGATCAGCTCTAGAACCTAACCTAGTCTAATCCATGTAATTTTGGCATTTTTCTGATAATACACTTTCACTATCAAAAAGCAAAATGTCCCAAATACAACGTGAAACCCAGCTAAGTCGACACTACTTTAATCAAGTCATCTTCCTCGAACGACAAGTAGGTTTTGTAACAATATGTTTCATTTCAGAGATACCCTTTGGATATTTGTATTTGGTTGACTTTTTATATTATTAATTTCTTCTCGACTCTTTGACCAGTAAAGTTATTTTCTGGGTACTACTCGCCCGTTCTCACAGTATAGAGAGATAAAGATCACAAATTTGAGAACCTTGAGAAAAAGAGCTGATTAGGGAACGATAAAGAAGACTACTTCGGCATGCAGATCTATCGCTTTTATGCTATATGCTATAAGAAGTCTTGGAAATAAGGAGTGATAGTAGAGGGACTTTTTTCAAACGGCTTTTTAGACAGATCACGCATGAATCGTGTCAAGCCAATTTTTTCGTTTTGAGCCAAATTTTGTTCAGCGATGAGGCCCATTTTTGGATCAATGGGTATGTAAACAAGTAAAATGGGCGCATTTGGGACGAAGAGCAACATGAAGAGATTCAAGAGCTGCCATTTCAGCTAGAAAAAAAAGGATTGGTGTGGTTTCTGGGCCGTGGTATCACCGGTCCATATTTCTTCAAAAATGATGCCAGTGAGGACGTAACCATCAATGGCGACCATTATCGCGCCATGATAACCGACTATTTTATGCCTGAAATTGAAGCTCGTGATCTCGGCGACATTTGGTTTCAAAAAGACGGCGCCACTTTCCACACAGCGCATCAATCAATGGATTTATTGCGAGAACACTGCGGTGAGCAGATAATTTCACGTTTTGGGCCGGTCGATTAGCCACCAAGATCGTGTGATATCACACTGTTAGACTTTTGGCTATAGGGATATTTAAAGTCTAAAGTCTATGCGGACAGTCCCGCTTCGATTCGGGCCTTGGAGCAAAACATTATGCATGTCATTCGCCAGTTACCAGGCGTAATGCTCGAACGAGTCATCGAAATTTGGACTCAACGGATGAACCGTTTGAGAAATAGCCGCCAAAAACATGTGAAAGAGATAATATTCAAAAACTAATTGCTAAAGAATATTCTTTTGAATGATACTAAACATTCCTCATTATATTTGAATTTTTTGCATTTTTTTCTTCAAAAAGTAAAGAACCTCAAAATGGACCATCCTCATGCACTTTTACTATATTTTAAAAAACATTTTATTTTTTTAATGACTTTTGATCATATCTTTATAATTATTAATTTTCTTCTTCTTAACTTCGCCACCATTTAGGTTGAATATGCCACCACAGAATCGGTGGTCACTCTAGACTGGGAGAATGGTTTTGTTGAAGCGTCTGCAGCGAAAAATGAAAACATCACACAGGTGAAAATTTAAAATTTAATATGCATATAATACCAAACTCTACTGACAACAATTTTTTTTCTAAACATTTATTTAATCCTCAAAACTTCGTACGTTAATGCAGGTCTTCAAAGAGCTGCTCTCACAAGCGAAAATCACGTACAATCTGAGTCCAGCACTGCGGCGCCGACGACAATCGTTGCCACAGCAAGTTGGCAATAACGGTGCGAGCACGCCCACCCATCACCATCATCCATCACATGCAGCCAACACCTCGGCAGCGGGCAGTGCACACGGCTCCACATTGCCGTCGCATGCGCCAACAGCCGCGCAAATACAACATTTGCAGAGGATACAGGAGCGAAGCTTGGGCAGCAAACGGAATTCGTGCACAATATCCTAAAGTCAATATGCAGCAGCGATGGTAGTGGCAGTGGCAGTGGCGAAATACATAAAAAATGCACATTTATCTGCAAATGCAGGCATACATACACACGCACAAACAAGCAAATGAAGGCTCGTCCATACACCAGGCGACAAGTGAAGGTTTACAGTCACAAGTAAATGTTAATTAGACAGAACTTTTATTCACGTATTTTGTTTTACTATTGTAGCATATTTTTATTTGATTCAAAAATTAATTTCAACTTTATTATTTAATACTTTTAATTTTTAATATTTTTATTTTATATAATTTTCGACTTATCTAACGCTTTTGGTATTTCAACCCACTAAACACCACTTACTAATATGAAGTTTACCAAAATGTTTCCTTTAGCTCGCCTTCGACACTACTTTTTATTTTTAATCAAGATATCACACGGTATTGTATTGAAATTTAAACCCCGATTGTAGTTATAATTTTGTCCGCATTGTTTTCTCATTTGATCAAAAACATGTGCTCGGTAATTCCAACAATTCATTCACATATTTGGAGATGTTATGAACACTTTTAATCCTTAAAACAAACTGGTTCGCTTGTCTACTTTTTGTATTCTTTCTACTCATTATCTATACCTCTACTCTACTCTTTATCAGTATTGAGTCAATCTCATTTTGGTCTTTCCAATGCAGATGAGGTCTTCTGAACTCAATTATTTTACAAAACAACAAGTGAGGTGATGGTTATCACTGTAAAAGATGTTTCCAAGAAAATTGAAATCGCGGAAAAATGATAAAATACAATTTTCAAATGATGTTATTTACAGCTATTAAACAAACTACCGCGTTTGATGACGCTCCAATTTTTACACTTACTTTGGAAAGACTTTTAATTTTACCTACAGAACCTACCAAACAATAGGCATTGTTAGAATTTTCCAATTTGATCACATAGATAGGAAAGGTAATAGAATAAGAAACTTTCCACCAAACTCCCGGAGCTTCTGGCAAGCTACTCCCCTATTGGCCATAGCTGGCCGCTTCTAGGCAAGTGCTTCTCACAGGCGTCCTACTTGTTGACAATACAGGTCCGAATTAAGAGTTTGGCCATAGGGGAGCAGCTCATAGTAGGTTATTCCCTGCCAGTCTCACCAAACACATAACAAAACCTTCCTTAACGTCAATATTGACTTTGCCACCGGTTCACCGCGATCGTTTTCAGTTGATCAATGTTCAAACCCTGTCGAAAACAGTGCTTAAATGATGGTCGCACTCAACGACTTTCATTAATTTATCGATATTTTCGACAATTGACTTACCCTAGCGTGGTGCATCCGAGACACCAAAATTACCGGAATTTCCATTGTCAGCCGCTGGTGTTTTTCTTTGACACGTGCTCAAGCTTTAGTAAATCGTATAAAATGTATACTTTATAATAATTTTTAATGAAAACCCAACTGAAAACTTTCATTTGTCGCTTAGTGTACCCACAGAGGTTTTGCATATGCGAGTGGACACACAAAAAACGAGTAGCATAACTTCGTAATGGACATTGATTACGGCAGCTGAAAGCAAATGTTTGTATGTAATGTTAACTATTGGAATATAACAATGCAAATATACAGTTATACTAACACTACATGTGTATGTGTGCATTTAAGCGCGTCAATGAACAATGTTATAAGAAATATTAGAATAAACATAATATTTACATTTATGAACATATATATGTAGGCTACTGCAGAACTCACACACATAACGATAAATATACTTACATAATACCGAATGAAATATGGATGAAATGAATCTTCGAAGCGACAAATCTTCAAACTTCTTCCGTTCGAAACAAAAAGTGATTTTGCAATGAATTACCTGATTTCACACAAACTAAAAATAATTTACTTCAACGGATGAGAGACAAGAAAACGCAAATGCATATAAACATACTTATACTCGTATACAAATAAAGTAATTGAAATTTATGCCTGCAACTATCGGAATACTTTAACTGTGTAACTATTGCAATGTAAACACATACAAACAAACATATTTATACAATAATACAAACAAATATTTACGTGCGTTTTATATACAGACGTGCGTAATGACTGGTTTCCGCATATTTATTAATTACAATAACAAAAATGTATGAAAAATAAATAAATTTAAACAAATAGCCGAAATATATATACAAATAACTAATGATTATAAAAAAATCGCTTCTCAGTTTTATGTATTTGGATTAATGCGCCAATATTTCAACGATTTATAAACATAACCTCAAATTCCGCAAATGTCAAAAACTTAATTAGTAACTATTACAATTATGTATGCTATGAAAACTAACTCTATAAGCAGTCGGTATATCCATATAAAAATATATATATATTAAGGTATTAAAATTATTATATTAAGATAATAAATAAAAAAAATATATATTAAAAAAAGTTATAAAAAAAATACAATATTAAAAAAAAAAAAACATTATAAAAATTAAAAAAAAGCATAAACAATTAAATAATTTCATTATTTAAAATTATTAAAATACTTCAAAAAATAATAATAATAAAATACTGTAACTTATTTAAACATAAAAAAAAATTTATATATATATATCTTTATAAAAACATAAAAAAATACTTTAATAAATAATAAAGTACTTTGAAAATAAAAATTATAATAACCAAAATAATAATAATAATTAACTAAAATATTTTAAAAATAAAATATTAATATAAAAAAATTATGAAATTATATTACCTTTAATTTAAAAAAAAAAAATATAAATATATATAAAAGATAATAATACTTTAAAAATAAAAAATAAAATAAAAACAAATAAAAAACAATTATTTAATTGACTAAAACTTATAAAATAATAAATAATAAAATACTTTAAAAACAAAAGTTTTAATAACCAAAAATACTAATAATAAATAAATAAAAAATATTTTAAAAATAGCAAATATATAAAGTATAAATATAAAAAATAGTATGAAAAAAAATTTAAATTAGGTTAAATAAAACTATATAAAAGAAATATAAAATACTTTAAAAATAAAAATTTTATTAATCAAAAATAATAATGCTAAATAAATAAAAAATATTTTAAAATAAAAAATTTAATAATACTAAATAATTAAAAAATATTTTAAAAATAACAAATAAATAAATATAAATATAAATAATAGTATAACAATTTTTAAATAACACAAACAACAAGTACTTTAAAAGGCTCAAACTTATAAAAAAATAAATATTAAATTTTTTTTTTGCTGAAAGAAATAATAATAAATAAATAAAAAATGTTTCAATAATAACAAATAAAAAATTCAATAATAACAATAATAAATAAATAAAAAATATTTTATAATAAAAAATTTAATAATACTAAATAATTAAAAAATATTTTAAAAATAACAAATAAATAAATATAAATATAAATAATAGTATAACAATTTTTAAATAATACAAACAACAAGTACTTTAAAAGACTCAAACTTATAAAAAAATAAAAAATAAAATTTTTTTTTGCTGAAAGAAAAAATAATAAATAAATAAAAAATGTTTCAATAATAACAAATAAATAAAATATATGTAAATATACAAAAAAAAGTTTGGCAATCTTTAAATAATATAAACAAATTAAAACCTATATACTTTGAAATAAAGAAATATATATAAAAAATAAAATGCTTAAAAAACAAATAAAAATTAAAATTAAAAAACAAAAATTAATAAATAATAAAATAATTATATAAAACATGCAATCACAAAACTTACCAGCATACACTAAATTACCAGCTAAATACTTAACTATTTAAGCGAATAATTTTCTCTTGCTAATCAGGTATTTAATCAATTCGTACCTGTCTAAAATAAAAAAAAAAATCTATAATATATATAATAAAAATCTCCAACTACGGGTACTTAGCGTCTATTAGATGAATGCCTACATACATACATACTTAATTATGTATTTACTAACTAAGCATTAATAGACTATGTAGAAAACCCACTAAGTATTTATATCTTATATTTCTCTTATATAATATAAACACATATATATTATTTATATATGTATATATACTTACATATGGTATGGTGTAGTTTACTATATAAAGAATGAACTCTAGTAGCTTGAAAATTATAAAAATTAAAACATAAACACCAAAAAATTTATTTAGATTACTGCTAATAATCGTATATGTATTGTATATGCATATGTATGCAAAAATTATTATTAATACAAAAAAAAATAAAATATATTATTTATATATTTATCAATATCAATTCTTGTAGTTGTTAGCATATCAGCTGTTAGTAAGTAAATAAATATAATTTCTAACTAAATATTTAAGAAATTTTTTTAAATTTTATTTTTAATAATAATGTTAACTGTTATTAGCATAATTACTTAATTATTTATATTTTTGCTTATGCCCATAAAATTCTTTCGATTCTCGCTACAAGTTACGTTTTGCTAACATTTTCATTGAGCCCATAGCTTAGTCGCCATTAAAATTTCAGCGAACTAAATATCTTTTTCCAACGCAAAAATCAACAAAAAAACATTTGGCTTTCTCAAAAAAAAACACACATAGATATTTCGAAGTTTCGTCGATATTGTGAAGTTTAACACGAAAATCAAAACTTTGTTAAATAAGAGTTAGGGAATCCATTGGCAGTATGCATTGACCAACCCGGGCGTATGAGTAACATTTTTCATTCAAATCAAACCTTATTTAATACAAGCACATTAAGTATTGGAAGCGATAGTGAGATATAAGCAACACTTACAAATACTTTCAATATTTATCGTAAAGGGTACATAAGGCTACACTGAAACTCTCACCTTCAACGAGTTTTCGAGAATTTTACAGTAAAATGTTCTTCCTTCATGTAGCTTACTTGTATATTTAAGGCTCAACATACCTCTCACGAGATACTTTAGGTATACCACGAAATCAGCAAATAAAAATTTCCCAAACAGCCGCCATATCCAAGAATCTTTCACATTCTCTTCGGTTTTCGATATTTATCGCTCGGTTTTTACATGTGTCAAAGTCGACGCTATATGTTAAAAATAAAATCATATTCTTTAACTATATGTGCGTAATAATACATACATATTAACAATCATATTCATATTCATCAATTGTTAATTACATGGTTTTTGAACATCTGGCTGCTGAAAACGATTTGCAATTCGAAATTTACCGGAAGTTTTCTTGATAATCCAATCTTTTTTCTTATTTTTCGCTTCAGAGTGGCTTAAAAATTTTTAATTATTATCAAAAATCGCATTCACTTCATCATTAAATGAAAAATATATCAAAGATGGTCGTGTGAAAATTTCAAGTCGATAGGTCCAGCCATTTTAGTCACAGACTCTGAAAACTGCATTTCTAACGCGTTTAAGGTTTTGGGAGCCAATTACACTTAGTTAGGAATTTGACGTGACAGAAATTTGAAAAAAGAAATTAAAAACTTTAGAAGTAATGACTCTTTGCGGTGATCAACACTAATTCATATTCATTCAATCGGACAAAAAAATAATAATTTTAGTAATCGATAATCGATAATTTTATTAATCGACAGTTTTATTAATCGATAGTCGATATTTTTATTAATCGATAATCGAGTGCCTGTTACAAGTTTTGTTTTTTATTAAAAAAAATGGCAGTCAGAATTAAAAAAAAACACAAAATCAGGCACTAGTTTTTCATGTTTTCAAACAGCTGTATTAATTTCAAAAAAAAAAAATTGCCGAACAGTTTTCGAGCTACTTGTGACCACTACCAGTTCAAAAAAAAATAATAATTTTGAGGAAAAGTTGCATCGGTTGATAGCTAGCTGCTCTCAAAAGTTCCAGAGCGCCCGGAAACTCTTTGCTGTTGTTTCTTATATATTATACTTTAATAAAAATTACTTTTAAAATATAATAGATTTTTTGAAAATTCTGACTAGCCCTAACTTGTTAAAAAGTTTTCACAAATGCGCTCATATCTCCGTAGCTATTTGCCAGTTTATATACTCGTAACGCCTTAATGAGTTGTTCTTCACACTGACTATAATGTAATTCATCGCACTGGTCGTTTTGCCACAAAACTTCTAAAAAAGTTTGTTTTCTAAGCTTTTTAATGCAATATGACTTATGTTCTGCAATGCTGCTGAGAAAGAGAGTTTTTTTTTTAGAACAAGTGCTTATATTCTATCAGAAGCAACGCTGAGGGACTCAGTAACTCACCTTAATAATGGTTTTTATTGGAGACGTATATTGAGTTTATCGTGTCGGGTAGTGCGCTTTTGAGAAGTGTGCTTCCGGTTAGTGTGCTTTCGGTAAGTTTTATCTTCATACCACTGGCCGACATCGTTGTAATCTCCAGTTCACCACGACCGAAAGCACTTCTCGTAATTACACAGCTAGCATCGTGATGAATTTTGAGTAATGCTATTTGAAGGTCATATACATATATATGTACAATATGTAACTCCCTTTGGGAACAATGCTGAAAATATTTATGAGCACTATTTTCTAAAATTTGTATTGTTTTTAAAAAAAATTTTTTTTTTGAATAAATGTTTTATTTTGAATAAAAATTATACTATTTAAATCTTGATTTAATAATGTATAGCACGGCATTTTATAAAATATATTTGCTAATAATTTTTGTAAAACAATCTTCATCGTAATAAAAATTTTAATTTCAAATAAATTTCAATAATTTTATATAGAAAATATAGTCAAAAAAGCAATTAAGTTAAATAATTATAGTAAAAAATTTTATTTGCTTCCAAAATGTTTTTCTTTGCCATAAAAACATTTGAACAACAAAAAATCTTCCAAAAAATAAAAAAAATTAATTAATGAAATAAGCTATTATGTAATAAGTGTTTGTATAAATACATAAGTAGAGACTCATTTATAGGTTGCTGTTAGAGAATTGAAATTGCGTGTCGTACATACATACTTACATACACAAAGACACGCATCAATGCATACATACATACACACATACATATGTAGCTTGTGACTAGGTACAAAACTGATGATATGAAATTGTAACACCAATCTTTTGAAGGGAAACGTATGCAATGCAATGCAATGTTTTGCAAACGAAGACATTGAAAATATAAAAGTTTAAGTTAAACTACATAAATTATAAAAAAATGTGCAAGCATTAAAAAAAATTAAAAATTAATTTAAAAAAAAAGCATAATGTATGTAAAAATTATAATTTCCATAATAATCGTGTAAAACTTAAGAAATAATGCAAAAAACACTTGTGTATCTTACAAAAAACTTAAATGTATGTATGTGCATAAATAACTGTTATAGAGCGTGTAATTAAATATAAATTTACAACAGTAATATTACTATTATTAATATTATGCTAATTAAAATAATATATGCAATAAAAACAACAACAACAAAAATCAACATTAGGTACTTGTAAATTAACTGTGTACTCGTTTGACAAAAACAACAAAACCAAATCAAAAACAAACAACTTTTTAAATACATACATAACGGTATAAAATTACATATATGTACTACGAATATCAATAAATTCAATTTGAATGGCAAATAAAGGCAAACTCACTTTCTTTTATAGCTTATTAATAAAAGGATGAAAGGTAACGTATTTTTGTTGGCTCTTGCCAAGCGTTTTCTCACTTTATTGTCTCTTTATCGCTCTTTCAAGTAAGAGAAACAATTTGTCGCAGCCAAATAAGTATTTTCTATATAACACGATCGGAAATTAGACAGAAACTAGCCATATATTCTAGATGGAAACAGATCATCGAACAAAACGGCGCATATTTTAACTAAATCCGATCACTGTAACACTTTTTATAAAGCATTGAATGAAGAGAAAAAAAGCGGAAGGGAAATAACGGCCAACCTTATATATTGCTTTATTTTCAATCAACTGTGAATATTATTGCAGCCTTTTGGATCAGCTGGATGAAAAAATTCGTGAGAAAAGACTTGTTTTGCAACACAAAAAATCATTTTTCATCAAGGCAATGCTGCTCACAAAAGGTGTTTTAACAATGACAAATACAAATAGCTTGCGCATCCACTGTATTCACCAGATTTGGCTCCCAGCGACTACCACCTCTTCAGAAACCTGAAACAATTCCTACGTGGAAAGCATTTTTCGTCGAATGAAGAAGCTATTACAGCCATAGACGGGTATTTTGCAGAGCTTCCGGAAAGTCATTATAGGGATGGCATAAAATTATGGGAGGATCATTGGAATAAGTGTATTGAAGTTAAGAGAGATTATATTGAATAAAAAAATATATTTCGTACCAAAAACAGTATTCTTTCATTTAGAACGCAGAAACTTTTCAATCAACCTGTATGTATGATAATCAGATCATCAACACTATACGAAGTGTGTTTTCAAAAAATACGGTGTGTCCCAGGAAGCATCGAAGCATCATTATTGTTGATGATTTGATGATCACATAGACATCTCGTGACATTAATTATACCAGCATTGAACACGGTATAGTACACCATATATACGCGAACTATTCTCTCAGTTATTGATATCTATTGTTATAAAACTTTGCACACGTCCTTTTTTCCCCAAGAAGCTGTTCATTTGTCAGAATAGGATATAGCTGTCAGACAAACTAATGTCGAAATCAAGTCCTTATAAGAACAAATTTTTTAGTCGTCAAGGAGCGAAAAAACAATTTTTTTTTTGCTTAGCCTGAGGTTAAAATCTGTAGATTATAAAATAAAAATTTTTTTTGGAAAACTACTACCAACTACTACAGCGTTTGTTGCTTTCCTTAAAATTACAACCTCATTTTTGTGAAAAAAAAAATAATTATCATAAGAAACTTTTGTCGCCGAATAAGATAAAGTCACCATCATAAATAGCATATAGCTCGATCAGACATTGATCAATGAAATGTTTATAATTAAAAAAAAAAAACGTTCGACGATCCGAGATCAACCGAGACTGTTCTTCAGCACGAAACTTCGACTAATTAAAATAGCTATAAAAATAGTTTTAAGGCTTGGTGTACTGATGATCATGTGTGCTTTTCGAAAGATCGCTTACAACTGGTTTGATGGAAAATGGGCAGTGAGAAAAAGGAAAGAGAAAATGCGAACAGCATTTTGCGATGAGGCGAATCAAAGGTCTCCCGTATTATGCTGAGTATACATTGCATCGATTTTTTCAGGATTCGAAGTCCGACAGCTAGTTTGACTGCCTAAAAACGCCATTTTGAGTTACAAATTTTAAGAACACACAGTAAAATTTTTGAAGAAAAAATTGATATTTCTTGAGTTACATACGACCTCCGCCGGCGCTAATAAAAATGGTCCTCCTCTGCTGCAGTGATTCCGGCCTCTCTGTAGATGAAACCAAATTGAAAAAATGAAAAAAGTTCTCGACTAGAAGGTGTTGTTGTTCTATGAATGATTTGCAAACGAAAAAAATCAAAAATTAACAAAATGGTGGCATTTTTAAAAAAATTGAAATTTTGGTCATTTTTGACCTATCAAAATTGTAGATAGGTCATTCATTGTATTGAAAAAATTTGATAGAGATCGCCTATCACTGCAATCAATTTCGGATTTTTATCCGGACTCGGATTTTTATCCGGCCAAGGACTGTCAACTCGGCAGAATACTGCCGCAACAGCAACACAATCAATTCACGGCGGCAAATTCGGGCAAATGCTTTCGAGAAAAACAGTTTTAAAGACAAATTAATGTAGTTAATTGAACTGAGCGGTTAGATCTTAGAAGGCTGTAACTCAAAAACTATTTGAGATATCGATTTTAAATTTTAGTATGTTATTTTTAAAGCTATAATAATATGATATACGAAATATGAAAAAATTAATGATTTCTAAAAATTTTATGCTGGACACACCTTAAGGTGCTTAATCCGCTTCAACTGAACGAAGCTGGCTTTAGTTGGTTCCAATCACTATCAACACTGTCGCTTTCCTCATTTATGGAAATTTTTAAGCTATAATATATATAAATATACAAAAGCAACAACGAAATATTAAAACTGAAAAATGTAAAATTAGACTTCTGCCAATATACGCCTACAATTGATTTCAGTTGCTAGAAAAAAAATTTAAATAATTTTTTCATAAATATTTATTGAATTTAATTTTGCTTGAATTCATGTGTTTACAGTTGAAGCCTTATAACTAGTTTGTATTTGTAAGAGTGTTACTAAAACTAAAACTAATTTATATTTCTATAGTATATATTTATTTTATTTTATTTTGTTGTGTGGAATAATAAAAGCAAAAAATTAATAGAAATAAATAAAGATAATAACAGTTACATTATGCACGCATTTATGTATATTCATTTGAATTTTTATTTTTAGAATTAAAGAAAAAAAATAAAATTATAATAAAAATGATTAACTTATTTCCTGATTTTTGGAAATGTTTGCGATTTCTTGCAATGCTGCAGCATATTTTTAGGTTATGTGTATGCATGTATGTATATTTCGTATTCATTTAATTACATACATATGTATATATGTGTCTGTAGTAAAAGCCGTTATTGGTGGTTTCACATTATTTGCATGCATTCTTCAGGCGAAATCTAACTGAGCAGGAATATCTTAAATTATTATTTCTATATATGTATATATATTATATTATATTAGTTTAATACATACATACGCTTTATATTATTGCTGTATAGTTAAGGTTTTACAGTTATTTTTATAAAATGTTTGCATTCATACTTCTACTAATCTTCTAATTGCTACAACAATTCATGGGCAACACAAAGCTTTTAATTCTTTTTTTTTCAAATTTAATAGAATAAAATATGAATTAAATAAATTAGGCAGTAACTCACTAAAGTATTTATAAGCGGCGCTCATTTGCGCTGCAGAATAATAATAAAATTATAATAACTAGCATTTCTGTTATGTGACAGTATTAAAAACAACAACATAAGTATTACTTAGCATTGGCAGGTAGCGAGTGTTGCAGCGGCGTTGCGTCACGACTACACCGCCACCACGTCGCTGCTGCTGCTGCGGCTCGACTTGTTGCCCGTCTTTGGCTTGATTTCGGTTAGCGACACCGAGCCGGGTCCGTTAAGGAAATGCATTTTCACATGTTTTTGCAGCTCTTGTTGCGAATCAAAAAAGACGCGACAGAGATCGCAGGAGAAGCGTGCTTTCGGCGCCGGTGCCGGTGTCTTCGATGCCTGTGATGAGCTATCGCCGCTCTCCGCATCACTGTCATCATCCGAATCATTGTCGTTATCATCGTCGTCGTCGTCCTCATCATATGACGGCGATGAGTCTTCGGTTGTATCTGTCGATATGCGATTTGTTTCGATGGTGACTTGTGTTGCGGCCGTTGGCACGCGCGCGTAACTACGTTCATTTGGTGCGGTAATAGTACGATCATTGGAGTCTTCCTCATTATCCATATCAACGTCATCGCCATCGCCATCGTCTGCATCTTCCCCACCCTCTTCGGCATCGTCGGCGTCATCTTCATCCGCTTCCGCCACTTCACCGTCGGCCTGCTCATTCATATCCACCTGCATAACTTCATATTCCTCATCTTCGTCCGCCTCCTCTTCGGAAGCATCCTCCTCATCGACTTCATCATCTGTGTCCATGCCAGGTCGACGCGCCGCACTAACTTCCTGGCGTGTCGATTCATCCTCCTCTACTTCACCATCCACCTCACCGCCGACCTCCTCTTCATCGGACTCCTCAGCCTCTCCCTTAAGCACACCATCCTGTAAGTCTTCCTTCTCCTCATCACTGTCCTGTTCTTGCTTTACCTTCACCTCACCATCAGCTACAACTTTTATCGAAATCGGCGCCACCACACCCGCCGTCGTCGCTGACTTTGTCTTCACAGCACGATTCTGGTTCTGATCATGTGTCTGCTGCTGATCCTCCACCGGCACAATCTCTTTCTCCTTCAGGTGATTGTGTATGTGATTGATTAGCTTCTCTTTGCGCGAAACATAGGCACCGCACAAATCACAACCCCACTGGAAGGGTCCGAATGGTTTTGTGACGCGCGCATCGTTCACTTTGTGTGCGATCCATTCGTTCTTCGTGTCGAATTTCTCTTGACAGCGACGACATTGCAAATATGGATCGATGTTGATTTTTGGCGGCACTGGCAAATTGCCGATTTCCTCTTTATGCAATTCGTAGATGTGACGACGCAGATTGTTGTTGCTGATGAAGGTGGACGGGCAGTATTCGCATTTAAGTTCGCGTTTGCGTTTCTGGGATTTTGAAGAGTGATGATGGGGATTGGGCATAAGGCCCACTGCTTGTAATCCCGGTGGATGTTGATGGTTGATCTGGATCTGTGATAAGGGGTTCGCTGCTGCATTGGCTGAAAGATCCCCGTCGGCTTGGTTCTATGGGGTTAAGTCAAATTAGTACAAATATTCATGGCTGGTTTATATACAATTAAATTATATTTATTTTTGTGACTGGTGCGGAGGACGCGGCGTGAAATGCTAAAATGCCGAGTTGTAAATTTTGATGACTAAACACTGTTGCATAAATATTTATGCGGTTGCGATTGCGATTGGTGGTACGTTGTACTCGTATATAATCGAGAGTAAGATCTACCCAAACTAAAAACGTTTTTGTTGTAATAATTGTAGAAAGCCATGTCTATGTAACCAAAAAATCAATTTACATTAAAAAAAAAAAAAAAAAATAAAAACTTAAAAAGTTTCCCCCACTTGTTAATTTGCATCTTTCTCTCTGACTTAACTCTCTTAATAGCTATCGATCTCACTCTCACGCTCTCCATCTACTTTTGCTTTCATCTGTCAATCTCTCACCGCCTGTATTTGACTCTCTTTACTTCTCCCTCTACCTTTATCAGCCTTTGAAGGTTGGCCTCTCCCTCTCTATATTCCCGTCATTGCTGTGATGACATAAAACATTTACCGAGTAGTTTTGTGTTTATCTTTTTCCGCTTCGATATCACAGTTGCTCTCTCATTTTAATATTTATGTTTATCCCTGCTCCCTTACTCTCTCTTCCTGGTTTTCTCCCCTACTGTCTCACTCTCTCTTTCTTATCCACCCCCTCTCTAATCTCTCTGCTTCACGAGCGTCAATCGTCAATACGCATTCTGTTTTGTATATTCTCTGGGCTTTTTTTTTTTTGAAACACTAAAATTTCGAACACCAAAACAATGGGACATTTTGCTTCCAGCCTCACTGCACTAGCCCAAAAGCTCACCTGTTTGCTATCACCTCTGAAATGCCATTTACGATGCACTTTAAGTGCAGTCATTTGTGTAAATGTTTTATTACACAAATCGCAGGCGTATTCGCCATTATCATTCACCCGATCCAAATAGAATTGATTCGGATCCGCTGGGCCAGTATCAAACATGGCTGCCAACGGATTATCCGTATACAATTCCATTTCATGCATTTGTATGTGTTTGGCGAACAATTCCTGATCGGTGAAACGTTGTCCACATATGGTACAAGCCACTTCGGGTAGTTTAATCTTCATGCCACTGGCCGGTATCGGTGTAATCTCCAGTTCACCACCACCCAAAGCACTTGTCGTAATTACACCGCTTGCATCGTGTGATGCATCGTCATCGTCATCGCCGGTTTTATGCTTGTAAATGGGTGGCGGTCCAGCGCTTTCGGCAACAGCGCCCGATGCGTTGATCGGTTTGCGATTACAGGTCGGTATGTGATTCTCCAACATCTGACTATCGAAGAAGACCTTCTTGCAGAGCACACATTCCGAAGGTTCGGGGAATTGTGGATGCTTCTTATAGCGATGCACCTGCAATTGAAACGAAGTAAAAGAGTGTGAGTAAATATAAATTGCTAGATATTTTGAAGACACCTACCCATAGACTCTTGCGTCCGCTATAGACATTGCCGCAATCCTTGCACGAATAGTCATTCGAATCGAATTCGTCATGCGAATTTATGTGTATAGCCAACTTCTTGTTCGTATTGAAGTTCGACGGACAGTACTTGCACTGGTACCAGTAGAGCGGACCGCTCGTTGAGCTGTCTAACGTGCTGCGTTCGGCGCCCACACTACTTACCGGCGTCGACAGGCCCGAGCGATCAGCTGGATTCGCAGCCGAACTGACATCAGCACCACCACCACCGCCGGCCAAGCTATCGTCGAATGTATTATCGGCTTGATCGGCGCCGCCGACAGCGCTGCCGTGCACGGTTTTCTTGTGGTGCATGAGCTGCGGCTCACTGCGATACACGATCGAACAAATATCACATTCAAATTGCTTCTCGATCATCTCGTCCTTTAGCAGTGTATTGTGTATCTTGAACATATGCACCTTTAAGCCCTTCTCGTAAGCGAATTCCGCATCGCATAGTTTGCATTTAATAAACTGTACATTGCGTATTTGATGGTCGTTGAGCATGTGGAAACGATACGATTTCTTCGATGAGAAACGACGCTGACAAAGGCGACAGCGCATGCGCCGGAAACGTCGATCGGCTGCCTGTTCCAAGCTACGCTTGAATATCGCCTTCTGCACGGCGGTCTGGTGTTGCATAGCCGGTGGCGTTGTGGATTTCGCCGGTGGCGCTGTTGTGATGGTTAGACCACTCGGTGCCGATTTGCTGGCGTTTAACGCACCCGATGTCAGTGAATTGTTCTGTGCCGCCGCACTATGTGAACGCATATGATTGGAGAGTCCGATATTGTTGCTGAAGACGGCATTGCAGATGGGGCACTCCTTCAGACTGCTGTACATGTTGCCGCCGCTGCCACCGGATCCAGTGCTGGTTGTCACAGCGGCACCGTTGTCTGTGCGCATTTTCTTTGCTGGATTCTCGCTGGAGTTCTCATCGTCGTCCGCTGCATTTTTTGAGGTTAGAAGCAAGTGATATTAGCAAATAATAATACAAATACATGTCGGAATGAAGAAATATAAAAAGTAAGAAATTTTCTTAAACTCAAAAGTTTTATATATCACTTTCGTATATCGGTGGTAATGTAAGGGTCGAACTCGTAAATTTTTAGCGTTACTCACAATCTGCTAAGCGTTAAATATTTACAGCCAATGCTTTATTTGGGACAACGATTCGTGAGACTCGAAATTTTGACTTTAAAGTGGGCGGTGACACGCCCACACATCATAATTGTAAAATATAGACAATAAATTATGCTTCTATTCATAATTTGAGTTTTTAGCTTAATTTTTCAGAGGAAAGTCGTTCTTTCATTACTTTTGAAAAATACCGTTACATGGTAGATAATGAAAAATATTGGTACCTAGTTTGATTAATTGAAGTATGTGGTGTAATAGTTCTTTTTTCGTATATTATTTTTGAGCTTTACACCCTGTAATGTGTCTTAGGCGTGGCAATAAACTTATTACGACCATTTACACAAACAAACTCACTTACGATGCTTAACGCTTCATAATGCAATTAAGTGCTATAACTAACACAATTACTTCTTCTGTGGGCAAACAACCGTTAAATGACGAAAACTATGCAACAGAGAGCAGAATATTCTTACAATGTCTATGTAAGCAGAACGAACACGGATTTTTAACCGGCCAAGAACTATCAACTCGGCAGCATTCCTTAAAATTTGAAACTTTGGAAAATGTTTTCTAGCACTACAACAACGACAACATGCAACGCTTCGTGCTACATGTTGCAACACCTACCGATGGAGCCGCCATTCGTTATCGACATCAAATCCTTCATCACATAATCATAGCGTCCCGTGTAGACATTCTGTTGTGTGCCGTAGGCAATTTTAACCGCATCCGCATTCACAATATACTCAAAGCCCGTATGACGCGCCTTATCCGCCGAATGAGCGCTAACCATGTGTTCGCGCAAATTGGAGAGACGCGGATAGCCAATGCCGCATTTAACGCATTTGTATGTTTGTGGCAATTGGTCGGGATGTTTCGATTCCATGTGACGCAACACATTGTTGTAATTGTTGTACTGTTGATCGCATATGGGGCAAGCTTGTGGCATACGTGAGAAATATTGTGATTTCGGTTGATTTGATGAGGCAGCTTGGTGACTGCTGCGTGACTCATCGGTGGAGGAGGCGCCTAAATAAAGCAAATGAAAAAAAAAATCGAGAATTAGTAATGACACAGCCGATTGCATTGATCGTAGACGCATGCGACTCACCACCCAAGCCAACAGTTGACTTCTTGACCGGCGAGTGCTCTGTGCTTATGGCGCTAATATTTCGCGGCGATGTGGACGTTTGCTCGCCGAAACCGGCCAAATGCTTCTCATACACGTGATCGAGGAATTTCTGATGATTATCGAATTTGGCATCGCATGTGACACAACGCAACGACACGATGCAATCCATGTTGTTGTAGTGACGTTTACGTTCGGCCGGATCGTCCAACTCCAAGCCACAGTAGCAGCATTGTTTTTGCATTGTGTCCTTGCGTTGCATGTCGGCGTGTTCGTCATACACGTGCGAACGGAACTCCAACTTCAGCCGATACTTCTGCGGACACAATTTGCATTCGTACATCTTATTGACGAGCAATTCCTTGGCGCGCAACTTGTCCGGCACTGCGGCCGCTGTGGCAGTCACAGCAGCGGCGAAATTGTTGTCCTTCGCCATGAGCGCATGCAACACTTTGTACAAGTTGATGCAATTGCGGCGCTTCAAATGCGAGATAAACAAAGCCTTCGAGTCGTTCAGCTTCAGGCAATTGAAGCAGAGATTGCGCGGCAATGCTAGATATTTCTTGCGCATGTGTGCCATGAAATTCTTATAGGTCGTATAGGTTTTATTACAACAACGACAAGTCATATTCTGATATTGGCGCAAAAATTCATCGTTCTGCTGTAGGAAAACGATCTTCTCGTCGGTCAAATGGTGTTGATACTTCTCCGGATGCTCATAGTCGTAACCGCCGATTTCACACTTATTGAATGCGTTCACGATTTGCTGTCGGTACTTGAGCGGTGTTATCATGCCAGAAGCGGCGTTCGACGCTTCAGCCGCGGCTACAGCGGCCGCTGTGGCGCGTTGCAACTCTAGTGCGGCTGCCAATGCGGGTGTGGGTTTGGTCACCGGCATGTTGTTTGGTGTCGATGTTGAGAGCTCGAAGAGATTTGGATGCAGATTGCGTTCGTGGCGGCGTGCGTTGGCGCGTGTGGAGAATTTCAGATTGCAGGCGCGACAGGACGCCTCTTTGGTATCCACCAATGTGGCCAGCTCGATGGGCGGTCGCGGTTGCTCATAGTGGTAGGGAATTTGTTCCTGCAGGTGTTGCGTTAGGAAAAAACACTTTATTAATTTTAAGTGCAAAAAAAAAAATTTTAAATTTATAGTGAAAATGTGTACGAGACATACCATGAGCGACTCGTCACCCTCCTCTTCGGTGCGTTCTAAGAAGAGTGTTGGGTCAACCATGTCATCGGATTCGTCATGCTGTTTGGTGTTGTATTCATCATCGGGATCCATCGGCTCATCTTTTATTTCTACAGCTGGCAATGGCTGTGGAAGATAGGAGAAAAAATTTTAAAAATTTATTAATGGTGTCAAAAGTTGAATAACAAACATTTAATTTATGGACATGGTTTTTATATGTTAGTAAATTTTAATTTCATTAAATTCGCTGAAAAAATATATTTTTTTGAATATTGAAAAAAAGTTGGGTTAGGATAAATAATTTTTTTTTTGTTTGTTACAACCAAAAATACATAACATTAGGACTTGGAGGGTTAACATATTCTTTACGAATTAAATATACTACATATAAACAGCTATCTGGCGAAAATTGTTGCTTTGTATTATAATAGCATCGTTGGGCTTTAGCGATAAAGTTCTAAAACTTAGCAAACAAAGACAATGGGAAAGCTGGCAAACCTAAATTTGTAAAATAGTTACACCCTATTGGATTCTAGCAAAATGTATTGCTTCAAACTTGGAATATCCGTCACAAATAAAATAGTTTTCCGTTATGGCAGCTCTATGCTATAGTGGTCCGATCTGAACAATATGTTGGGAGAATGTTGCGTTCCCGTAGACAAAAATCTATGCCAAATTTCGTGAAGATATTTTGTCAAATAAAAAAATTTTCCTCACGAGGACTTGATTTTAATCGGTCAGTTTGTATGTATAGCGTTCCCTTGGACAATAATCTATGCCAAATTGCATGAAGATATTTTGTCAAATAAAAAAATTTTCCTCACAAGGACTTGATTTTAATCGGTCAGTTTGTATGACAGCTCTATGTTGTAGTAGTCCGATCTAAAAAATATTTTCGGAGAATGTAGCGTTCCCTTGGACAATAATCTATGGTAAATTGCATGAAGATATTTTGTCAAACAGGGACTTGATTTGGAGCGGTCAGTTTGTTTGGCAGCTATATGCTATAGTGGTGCGATATTGGCGGTTTCGACCAATGATTAACTTTTTGTTGAGAGAAGAACGTGTGCAAAAATTCAGATCGAGAACTTAGGGTAGAGTTCGTGTATATGCCCACAAACAGACTAGTAAATAATTATGGCTGCAATAGAGCACAGTTAACAGGGCATTCCTTCAAATTTCAAAATTTCGGAAAATAACCAATTTCCCTCACACCGAAATGGGTTCATTGAATAAATGCAGAGGTAAAAACAAAAACATATATAGACATATGCAAAAATATATAATATATATATAGACGTGGAAAACGTTGTTGCCGATACGTTTACGTTATTGTACGTGTAACGTCTAAATAAACGCAATTGCTGTGCGGCACTCTGATACGATGGGGCGGATGCGGCAGCAGCAACGGCAATTGGCGGTGCTTGATATTGCACAGACTGTGGTTGCTGTAGTTGGAGTTGTTGTTGTTGTTGTTGCTGCTGTTGCTGTTGCTGAGCCAGCAATTGTTGTTGCTCCAACAACTTATGCTGCTCTAAGAGCAATTGCTGCTGCTGCTGTTGTAGTTGTTGCCGTTGATATTTCTCCACTTCAGCTTGCACGTGTTGTTGCATTTCCTTTTGCTGTTGCTGATGATGCTGCTGTTGCCGCTGCTGCTGACTGCGATGATAATGCCGAGCACGACGCGGTGGCGCTTGCAACGGCGCTGCCGCAGCCACAGCCACCGTTGGCGTGCGACCCACAGCGGCGGCAGCAGCTATCAAGCCGGTTGTGGGCGCAAATTGCCGACTGTATTTCCTATAAGGTAAATGTTGCTCCAATAGCAGTGGTTGTGCTGTTGTCTGTTTCGCATGAAGCGGAGCTGCGGCGGCTGCTGGCAATTGCTGTTTACTAATGGTAGACGTTGTGGTAGTAATCGTAGAGGTAGCAGCAGTGCTGCTACTCGTGACGCTAGTAGTACTAGTACAAGTAGTAGTGGTAGTAGTAGTAGTAGTGGTGGTGGTGGTGGTAGTAGTGCTAGTAGTAGCTGTGGGGTTTTCTTTAGGACTCACATAAACAGTTAAAGATTTTCGTTTCTTCAACGACGAAATTCCATCCAAAATCGATGATGCCAAGCTCGGCGTTGTGTGCTGTTCATTCTCGTCCGCTTGGTGCTGCTGTTGCTGATGTTGGCCGGTGCCATCTGCACCAATCGTTGATATGCTGACATTGTTGTCGAGCAATTGTTGACGTTTAGTCGTGTCCAACCAACTGCGTTGCTTGTTTTGTGAGGCAAGGCAGCGATTCTTGAAACTCTGCCAGGAATTCAGGTAACTGATGCACGCATGACAAATGCGCAGCGATAGGTGATCTTCGGGATTTATCTGAAAGTGAGAAAAGAGCGAATTTTTTGGTTAGAGTGTGCTGCAGTTATTGAAGTGGTGAGTATGCTTATATGAGAAACATAATGGATATATTTATATATAGTTAACAATATAGATTGATGTAGATATCCAAAATTTTAAAGTATAAAACACAAATATTTATTAATTCCTTTAAATATTATACGCAAGCTCTTCAAAAATGCCTGTAAAAGCGCCGAAATAATCGGAACTTCGCAAATAACGGTACATTTTTAAGCTGTTATGTGAAAAATAATACTAATTGGTAATGAAATCTCACTTAATTATCGTATTAATGAAGTGGATAGTTATACTGTGACCTGTGGAGACATAGAGCCACCTTCAAGAGGACTTTGACCCATTTTACAGAAATGAACTTAATTGATTGCAAGAGCGTGGAAAGGGCTTGGTGGAACCGCGACAACACCAACAAAAGCTTTGAAATCCGTTTCTACAACAGTTGGGTCTACGTAAGCGAAACGGACCCGGAATTTTATTCCACTAAGGATTATTAGCTCTGTGAATTTTAGTCAAAATTATTTGGAGAAAGACGTTTGTGCTGTAATTACAACAATAGCTGAATAAGACTAATTTATTATCTGTATTTCACCTCTAGACCCCGATGTTGTCAAATTTTAACCCTAAAATTTCTATTTTATTTTGTGCGTGTATTGCATACATTTTGGAGCGCCTCTTTTTCGTTTTTTTTTTAATGAAATATGCATTAAACTAAAAAACTTAAATTGATTCGGGGTTATTTTTTGCCGCTACAACAACAACAGGCGAATAAAAATCCGTTTTCACGACAGCCGGGTCTACGTAAACATAATGGACTTGAAAGTTTTACCGTCTAAGTGACTGTTAGCTCTGCAGAATTTAACAAAATTATTTGGGGAATGTTTTCTGTGCTGTGACAACAACAACAATAAAAAATAATTTCTTATACTATGTCTATCACTCACACTAGACTTCGGTGTTGTCAAAACTTTACCGTTATGATTTCAATTTTAGTTTGCGCGTGTGTATTGCATACTTTTGGGAGCCGCTCATTTTCGTTTGCTTTATAAAATATGCATGAGGACAAATGTAGATGAATTTTTAATTAACAAAAAATGAAAGAATCTTATTTATTAATTTCTTGCGAATGAAATATTCAAATTGCACAATTCTATTTGGGAAATTGATTTTAAATTGTCGCCGCAAATTACGCCTACCGCCGGCAAGGCGAACAACAACAGCAACAGGAGCGGTAGCACAAATAGGTATATACGTATAACGGTAGTTGCTATAATGAGAGAGAGGCAGGCAGCAGGGGTACAACGACTGCAGCAATTTGTATTGGATATTGATGTCAATGACCTGTTCCTGCTCAAAACAACAGTAAGTATATGTAGACGACGGAAACATCTTAGCTGGTCCATATGTATCTATATACATATGTATGTACATATATGTGAATGGTTAGACATGCCTATATGTGCATACATACATGTATCCTTATAAGCCAACACCACCGGACTTGACCCGCACAAATGGGTTCCCACACTCTAAATTTCACTGGCTATGAAACATGTGGGGTTTATATGCCTGACTGAGTGATTTTGCATACATGTATGGAAATTTACTTGTATGTACATATGTATGTGTGTTCCGTCACATATGTGTATGTATTTGTGATTGTATATGCATGCAAGAGGTCAAGATAAACAAACAATTGAGTGTGATTATGAACAAGTAGCCGCTACACACACGCAATGTGATAAGCAGCAACCAAAAAGTATAATACAGCTGTCTTGTATGTGTGCGAAACATTTTTAGTTGAAGACAATGGCATTTAATTGAATGTTTTAATTTAATATTTAAGTTTAATATCATTTGTCACCGCATGCAAACTGGCAAACACACCTGCACACACACACACACAAACGCTTTCAGGCACTTATACACAACTTGACAAGGCCTAGAGACTAGTGTTAGCTGTGTTTTGTATTGGCCTATGAAGGCACTCAAGCCGATTAAACACAAAACCTTTGTCATTTCGCAAGGATAATGATTAAAGACAAATACACTAACACATACATATACATATGCATTAACATAGTATATATGTATGTATGTATGCAATTCGTGTTCATGCGTTTAAGCCAATGTGTAGCTAAATCGAATAAGTGCGTCGAAATGTATTCCAAATAATTATGTACTAATGTATACATATATACATACATACATGGAAACTTCATCTTAAGTGCCTATTTACCTACGGGCATATACATACATATGTGTACGCTCCACATATGCTTGCTTGTTCTAATGCAGCACAACTGTGTTAAATGCAGAAGCAGTAAGTTTTATATAGCTTTGTGGCCGGAAATTTCGAATTTTTTCGATATTGGCCGATTTCCTTCGGCAAAAGTCCTTTTTATTTTTTTTAGCGCTACCCTAAACGGCATATTATATTTATTATACCCTGAACAGCGCATATTAAATTTGCGACAAAATTTGTAACACCCAGAATGACGCTTTGGAGACTTTAAAATTATATATATAAATGATCAGCGTGACGAGCTGAGTCGATTTAGCCACTGTCCGTTTCTCTGTTTACAAATACGCGAACTTCTCCCGCAGTTGTTGAGTTATGAATTTGAAATTTCGCACACGACTTTGAATAGTATGGAAATAGTATGGAATTGTATGGAAGCATTTTTTATTTGAGAAGACCAATATCAAGTTTTTGCTTGGAAACAAATTTTTCTTGACAAGATATCTTTGCGAAATTTGGCACAGGTTATTGTCCAAGTCAACGTTATAATCTCGTGAACATAATGTTCGAATTGTTCTACTATTGCATATCACTACCATACAAGCTGGACCATGAACATCATGTCCTTGTATGGAAAACTTTTTTTATTTGACAAGATATCTTAACGAAATTTAACATGGATTATTTCCCAAAGTAACGTTACAATCAATGAACATATTATTTAGATCGAATCACTACAGGTTATAGTTGCCACACAAATTTACCGTTCAAAATCAAGATAAAGATCTTTTTTACCCTTTTATGCTATAAAATCTGCACCCGTGAAGGGAATTACAGCTTCGCTTCAGCCGAAGTTTTTAAGAAAATGCATGCGGCTGTTTTCTTGTGACTCTCGAAAAGTGAATTAAAGAAATATAAAAAAAAAAATTTTACTTTGTGAGTACTTATTGTTATCCCTAATTTTAACATAAATTTAACAAAGCTCTCATAATTTTTTTATAACTTTTTTTAAAAAATTTTATTATAATTTTTTTATAATTTTTTTTATAATTTTATTATAATTTTTTTTTAATTTTTTTATAATTTTTTTTTTTTTAATTATTTTTATAATTTTGTTTTAATTCTTTTTGTTATACAAACTATTTTTTTTTTTAAATAATTAAATATTATAAAAATAAAAATGTTTTCAGCTATATTTTGCACACTTCTTATAATGAAGGAAATTTATAGGGAATTTTGAACAGAGAAATCCGGCAAAACCGCATTTGGAAATACGTAACTTTTTCCTGAAAAAAAAAATTTTTATAAATTTATAACTTTTTAGTGATGAGAGATTTAGTGGTTCTTGTTATTGTAGCAATTGTCAGAAAAACTTTTTTTGTATTGTGCTTTAAACTTTCAATTAGGTCAAAAGATAATATTACAAACATTTGGTTCTTATGCTTTCGATACGCACGTGACTGTATATGCAACACATTAGGCTATGTACATATTGAAGTTGGAGTGGGAATACATTATTGAAAGTGCGCCTATATGTATGTGTGTATAGAAGACCGTAAACATTGGTACATACAGATATATAAATTCAGTTAGCTGGAATAATTAAGAAATACATATGTATATATCTATGTAGTAAATATATATTTGTATGAATGCACATAGATTGATAACTTAGCACATATTATTGCCAAATTTCCATATGTATGTATATTCCAATGCACATAACCTTAAATATGTATATACATACATATGTACGTATACCTTATCAAAGCGTTGTATGACAATCAAGCGACATATGAGTGCAACAACAATATTAATTATAATTATCCTTGCAGAAAGACTAAACGGATAGAATTAAATGGGCGAATAAAGAAAATTACAGATGCCAATCTATGCATATGCTATTACAAACATACAAATGCGCATATGCAGAAATATTGCTTATACTCATATACACAAAGAAGCACTAACACATTTATAAGAAAATGTATTTTAATTATGACTCCTTATTTTCCTTTAATTAGGCAGGTAGGAGTACAGCATACCATTGAACACGCAAACAAACACATGCGTGAGCATCTGTGTATATACATATGAATGTACATAAACAAAACTGTATATGCTTAAGCATAGCTTTAGAGGGTTATAATAGTGCGTATCCATACGACGACTGGGCGGTGGTCCATTTGATGTTCATTCACCTTGCCCATGCTACAAACAGCAAATAAACTACCTAAAGCTACACACAGATACACGCACTCATCTGTGACAGCGTAGCATATAACGCACAGCAGCTACTGGCTACTGGCTTTTTGCGTCAAACTCCTCATTTTCATAATTATCATTCAACTTTTCTGCAAGCGATCGATAATGTAATATATAAAAAAGTTTTCCATAAAAGAGCGTGGTTTTGATCGGTCAGTTTGTAAGGCGGTTATATGCTATAGTGGTGCGATATCGGCGGTTTTGACAAATAAACAGCTTCTTAACTTCTTTCGCTCGCCCTTTCTTTTAAATAAACTCAGCTCGTCACGTTGAAGTTTCTTTCTTCATGTAACATATTTCGTGGCAAATTAAATATACCCTGTTCATGATATTATTAAGAGCAATTCACGATAAATTCCTCCATCTTCATTTCATTTAGTACAGAGGTTATACAAAGAAACCTTCTAGAGGTGTGCAAGCAGCGCTCAAAAATATAACAATATATCTTTTGATCGACTTCAAAGCATCCAAGCAATAGGTTCTGAATATATCTGTACTAATCTGAAATCTGAAAAAATCTTGTATCAGTACATTTATATAATACTGGTTTTAATAATCATTTACTCACTTGTTCCATGCCCTGTAGATACATATGTATGTTATGCATTTTTACATCGAAAAAATTACAACTCGTTCTTACGACAACAATTCCAGTGTATTTGCTATTTATATATTCCATTTAAAAATTATTTAAATATACTTAAGTCATATACAGGTCTCTACAAATAAAATGGATCTTTGAACATTTCTAAGACATTCATTTGAAAATTTAAAGCCACGTGAACACAATGCAGAGCTGCTAATTGTCCAAGGTTCCAAACCACATAACAACTTAGCTGAATACCTCACTATGCAATGATATCATGTAAGTTGATATTATATGCACCTATCTATTTGTGCTTCAATGCCACGATAAGAGAATATCTACCAACTAACTTGGGAGTGATGACGTCCTCAACGCTGGTTTTCGGTGAGGGTGAGTTCGCTAACAAATACGCTGACGTGGTAGCTGTCACTCCAAGTAGTCACTAGAGTGCCAGCTATTGAAAAGCAACAAATTATAATAGTTAGATATATTTACATACATACAAAACTGAAATGATCGCCACACATACATATGTATTTGGAAATGAAAATTCCACAAAGTTTTGAATGTTAACTTTATGGTAGAAGTTTAGCAAACTTTTAAACATTACAGCCAACTAATTGTAAAGCGAATGAATTTAGCTTCAACCACAGCCTTTTTACCACAGAGAACAGCAAGTGAAACAACGTGCCCTGATAAACACATGACGAACGCACAGAGAATTCGTAGCGTGAAACGAACTCAATGTTAGCGTATTTGACTGACAACGCTGGCAAATGTAGCAACACAAGTAGCGTGAAGGTAGTTTTTATTTTATGATTATATAGTAGCATTGATACCATGTTTGACCAAGGCAACATGTTGACATAAAATATACAATACAGGTCTCAAATTGACATATTTTATAGATGAGCGGACAAAACTATAGAAAATAATGAAGTAAAGTTTGCAAACTTAATTGGTATTTGAAAACTGTATTTTTATAAATATTTTTTTAATAAACTACTGCAAATATATTACAAATTTAGCATATTTGAAGCAGGAAGTCTCATAGAGTGTGATAGTCTTAGATTCATAAATTCGGTCAATTTTTTCAGTTTATATAACCAATATGACATACCGACACCGCCAAAAAATGCCTAACTACAACAAAAATAACACTTGAGCTCTTATTGATAAAAATGCATGTACACATTTTCCTTGGGACGTTGTCTTAAAAAGCTATTGTGTTCATAACCTCAAAATCTCTTTATCAAAATAAAACACTGCAGCACGCATTAAAATTTGTAAGCAGCTGCCAGCTGCTCAAACACGTTATGCAACTCTCAAGGTGAAACTGCTTAGTTACTCCAAACTGCGCGACAGCGCCTTAGTTTCAAACAGTTTGTCTGGTTCCAGCTAGTATGGCTCAAGCATCGAATACACATTTATTCAATCCCTCCAACAATGTAGCAAAATAGCTGTCTACATTATTTTGTACCTACAAGCTGCTCTCAAATTACTCCACTTATCAACATTAATTCATGTGGAAAACGTAGTACTCGTGTACCAACAATCGCCAGACGATAAACAAAGCCATCTCCACTTTTGGAATCGGTCACAGATGGTGAGCGAATCGATAGACAGCAACGAAGATAACGGCTATGGAACGAACATAAGGTAATGGCAACTACGAAGTCACAACGTACTCCAAGTAGTCGATACAGTCATGAACATCGTTAATTCCCAGCACAAAACAGCATGCCAAGCGAGGGAAATGACAATGATGTAGTCGACGCACTACTACCACCGATAATGCGCGTCGGGCGCAGGCCAGAAAGAGATAGCGTAGTAGCCAATACCACACGGTACTCGGTTACCAGCAAGCATTTAACTGCTGCCTGTCAATCGTGGCGTTCCAGCTAAATAGCACATGTGCGTCGGCAATTACGGTTATGAAATATTCCTCGTGCACCGTACCGTTCTGTACGCGCATATTCCAAAGTTTCCTAAAAATAATGAAATTCATCCTTATAATTGGTAAATCTTCCATTACCTTTACAGCGCTTTCCGAATTCAATTCACTTTTGTTATGTACAGAACGCAAAAAAAAAATCGCATTGTTTTCATCGCTACTTTGCACATATCTTCGTTATCGCGGACTATGTCTTCCACTCCTTCGTAATCGAGTATGCATGAGTTTGTGTGAGTGTGTGTATAATTGTTATTACCGGCTTTGTTGTTTTTGTCATGGTTCTTCTATAGAAACGCAGGTCAAATTTCATCTGATCAGCCAAATATTACTTCATATTGTAAGGAAAAATGCAAACCGATTAAGGATAAGAATAGGTGTGGAGATCACTAATGTTAACATGTAATAAGTTTCATATAGTACATATATAAACGATATATTTATTAGTGGTTTTTGTTGATATCACGTTATCAGTTAACAATTTTTACACAAAAATAGATTAAAGAAAAACGATCAGGAAATAATGAACTAAAGAAAGAACATTAAATACACTGCCCTCTGCAGCTGCTCATCCATTTGTTGCTTACTGTGAAAATAGTGGACATGCTTTGTTCTTTGAGCAATTAGCAACAGCAGCAGGCAACGTGACAACCAACTAACGAATCTGGCGATGATATTTCAGACGACTGCCTCGATGAAAGCAGCAGTCGTTGTAGCTACAGCTGTGGTCGTAGCTACCAGCCGACTACACCTCGCAGTCACATCCACACACAGTGAACCACTATTCAGTTATTCAACCACTCAGCTATACAATCAACAACTGCCAACTAAGTAACCAACCAACCAACCAACCACGAGTCTTAGTGAGTCAACGCGAGTGCGATAACGATGTGAGCGCTGTGAATCCGGATCCGAAATGGAATCGATTCCACACAACGGCACAACATTATTATACGCCATAATACACCAGCCAGCCATGTCATGTCACAATCGTGGAGGCACTGAGCGGCAGCGGAAGAGAGCGCGCGCACAATAAACGCGCCAGACGGCACCATCATTGATTGCTTGCTCAGATTGTTCAGAGCTCACGGGCTGGCAACGCTACACCAGCGCAACTAACCAACAAACGCCATTAACGCCAATATGGTGACTTGGCAATTCCGCATGGCGTGGCATGACATGTGGGAGCACGGACGCAAAACTTGCACAATCAGTCGCATTGGTTGTCGTTCACTGCTCATCCTAACCTCAATCACATAATTTAGTAACTAATTTTGAACGTTTTTGGTATTTTTCCTTAGCTATTACACCATAAAAATTTGATTAAATTCCACACAAACGTATGGATACTTCTAGATAGGAGCCAGTCATCGCCATCTATGATTGATTGGGTCATACCCAGTTTTGCTCATTATATCTACATAGATGTGTAGGTAGGTAGATATACTATGTACTCACCTTGATGCTGACGCAGTTCTGTATCTTAGTAGCCAACGGTTCCTTGTCCGCCGCATAGCTGTTTAATATGGATATGCATTCACTGCCCGGAGCCAAGCAGAGGCGACAGCAATTTTGTCGCGCACGCACTGGACTGCCGTCCGACATTTTGTAACGACGACTCCGTCAGACGCCGCTCTTCCCTCCCAGAAATTTCACACTGAAGCGTAGCCAACTGACGAGCAGATAACTCTCTATATATATTGTAATGGTGTGATTTTTAATTGGTTTTGGAATCTGTTATGCTGTTATTATAAAGCAAGCGTTTTAAGTTCACTTTCAGTTTTACTTTTTTTTCGTGTTTTCTCACTTATTTTCACTTTTTATTAATGTTTATCGTTTTTTTTTTTTTTGCAATTATTTGCTTTTCCACTTCTCTCCCGACTTCTTTGTTTTTATCATATCTTTTCGGACCACATTTAATTTTATAAGTCTGAACGCGACGGGATTTTCTACAAAACTGAATTCAGAGAATGAAGTTGGTTAATTTTTTTCTTTACCGGGAATTTTCGTTACGAAGAGTGCAAATAGAGACGCGAAAACAAGGGTGGCGACATCTAGCGTGGAAAATACGCACTCTAGTGGGGAAAAAGAAATAGCTAACATCTTTAGCGACTCTGTGGAAACGACAGCCAGCTGTTCTAGCCGCTGATGAGAAAGATGCAAAGGCGTTGAATTATTTTATTGAGCCGTTCACAATATATTCATTATTTCATTATTTGTAATATTATATACATAAATATTACTGATATTTATATAGATGTACATTTAAGGATATTTGGAATTATTAGTGTTACAAATTGAGAGGTCACCTACTTGCTTTCAAAAAGTATCAGCATAAAACCAATATGTAGTAGTTTTATAAAGTTTGACGAGTTAATTTTTAACCCTGGAAATAGTAAAGTGTAATATAGCACATGATTTTTGTATAGCAAATTTGCTTCTCTTGCAGATTATAGTTTACCATTTCATTTGGTTTCTAAAATGACAAAATGGTTTATGTGTTGTAAATTTTGATATACAAATGCCAAAAGCAAACATATTGTATCCCGCCAAAGTTCCGCTTCCTTTAGCTGACTATTAGATTTACTAAATTTATCGCAATGGATTTTTATTTAACAACAGCCCGCCCAGACTAGTGAAAATTACAAAAGTAGATTTACAGTATACTCTTCTTAAGTAAGTCATTTTAATTTCAAATCATCATCAAATGCACGAACGCTTGTTTCCTTCAAGTGCAGGCAGCTAAGCTTTTTTAAACGAATTGCCCAAATATATATTGTGTCTTATATGTATCCCTAAGCGTAAAGTTATCTCCTAAAAATATTCTTTGCTAAGACGTTCAAAATATTCGGTTGCATTTGTGATTGCAATGTGGCCGCTGTTGCCCATCAATCACCCCTAATTTCATAAAGCGTTTATTAAATGTGCATACATTTATAATTTTTAATATTAAAGATTCCAAGTATGGTTTTATTATGTATAAATATGTTTGTATGTATACACGTACAATTATACTTAGAGCTGGATCTGATGGCAGTTATTGTAATTTTCTGAACTGACTGAAATGTGATAAAAATTCATTTACATATGCAAATCGTTTATTTAATATGAAAAAAATCTTATTATAAAAATAAGGATTTTTATCATTGTTTAGCGGATATTATATGCAAACAATGCAAAAAATACTATTTTTGCATTATAATTTTTTGCAAAATATATGAACAAGAGCGAAGTCATATACATATGACTGTAGATATGAAGTTATATATTTATTTACATACATGCAATATCATTGCTTTGAACAGCAATTTATCACGCCTCCTTTTTTTAAATCCGGCCGACAAATTTACACGCTTATAAATATACATATGTATTTACGTACAACTAAAGGATTGGCTCAGCAGTATAATATATTATATATGCCAATTATTCATAATAAATCAAGAACTCATTAAAACTAAGAATTATTTTTGAACTTTGCTAATTAAACTAGTCATGTGGGTAATTAATTAAAATGTCGTTAAAACAATTAAAATGTATGTATGTATGAGTAACAATACTATTAATAATGATAAGCATAATATTTGCTTCCAATTTTTGAAAATTCAAAAAATAACTCCGCAATACGTATGTATGTCTAAGCGCAATTTAAACATACGTTATAAACCCAGTAGACATTATAACGTTTTCGGGTATTTTTATGAAAACTTGTTTTATTGTGTTTTATTTCCAATGGCATAAGTAGTCATATATTTTTACATGCATAGGTATATTTTTTTACCCTGAACGAGGTAAAGGGTTTGCCACAATGCTTGTACACCCTGATCGATACGTCGTTCTTTTCTCAGAAGCTGCTCTTTTGCCGGAACCGCCGATATCGGAGCATTATAGGTTATAGCTGCCGCTTGAACTGATCGATCAAAATTAAATCCTTGCATGGAAAATTTTTTTATTTGACAAGATATCACGATATTTAGTACAGATTACTATCCAAGACAGCGCTAGCGGATAACTATAGCATATAGCTGCCATACAAACTAACCGATCATAACCAAGATAACGATCTTTTTATACCCTTTTGTGCTCTAAAAAGATGCACCTGTGAAGGGTATTATAGCTGAGGTGCAGGCGAACTTAACGCTTTTTCTTGTTTTTTTTTTTATAAATTTATAAATTGCATTGCAAATGTGCTAGTTCAAAATATTCTCTGCCGGGACAAAAGATTAGAAGAATTCATTCTTCTGCCTTATATTCTTAATATTTTGAAACCGAATTTATGCAATTCCTTTGCGATGGGTACATTTATATTTGATCATAGTTAATACATTATTTTCATTTATTTATGTATATTTTTAATCAAAAACATAACCAAAGGTCAAGCCTGAGACATTGCACGCAAACAACAGACTGAAGATACCCGTATCTTCAGGAAAAAGAAAATAACTAGAAGTTCTTGTTTTGTGGCTATTTTTTGAAGGCGACAAATAGAGTTGCCAACATTTCTTTTTTATATATTGCAAGTAATTATTTAACAAAATCTTCTGAATCCCTCCGATCGCCCCAAATTTCCTCCGTCTTGCGGGAATTTAAATAGTTAGCGAGTTTTTATTGATCCACTAACTAAATACTTATAATATGCTTTTGATATAGAACTAAATTTTAACCTTTACAAATTATGTGGAGGATTTTACTGTCTAATACCTCGGTAGGATATAATTTGTGTGATACAAGGTTTTGTGGTGTGTTATTTTGCCGGTCTTTTCAAGTGACCATGAAACTTGAATTACAGTATTTCTCAGAACTACTTTAATGTTTTTTAGTTTTTAGAAGAAGCTCGTTTAAAGTTCGTTTAGTAGAGAACGTCTCATTCTCACGGCATTTACCAACGATTTCCTCACATGGTTTGACTTAAATAGTTTATTTAAGAGTCTTCGGCGTAGGTTAGGTTACCTTTGTTATGGAACCAATTGCTGTAGTGTCCGACTTGTTTAGAAATAGGGATCGTTTCAATTACGTAGATTTGATATACCATACGTACATACAATAGAGTCACAATTTTATCATGATTTTATATCGAAAATCGTGTTAGTGAATTTCGCTAGTTTAATATACAGATAAGTACTCCGTCGACAGCAAGAATCAGCGTTTTTGGCATCTCTAAACAACTAGAGACACTTGTTGTACTTATACAAGGAACAATTGTGATAGCCGGCATGAGAAAATATACCCAGTTATATACGTGTATATGTATGTATGTGTCGTAATCAAATATAAATATATATACAGATATATAATATATTTTTAATTTCCTCCATTTATAATACACATGCTGGTACTCGCTTATCAAAAGAAAGCGACTTGAGAAAACATTTTTAAGAACCCGCGTAATGGACGCATAGAGGGCGCTACAATGATTTTCTACTTCAAACTTCTAACTTTAAAGAAAAATTATGTTTTTTATGGAACTAAAAGCACAAAAACGAAAAGAGATAAAAAAATATCTTGGAGACTGCAGAAATGAATCAAATTCCTTTGATGAGTGTTACAAATTATATGAGAATTCTGAATTTCATATTTTTTCATTATCTACCAAATCTTTTGGTGCTTTTAAATAGCTTTTTGCCTAGATTTTATTTTTAGAAACCATTTTGTAACTAAAAATAAAATATTTAAAAAAATTTAATATCAAAAAAAAAATTGATTGTTTTTTTATTTCATATTTAATATTTAATAAAAATAAATCAAGGATTATTGTTTAATTCATTCTATGGTTTCCTTTAATTACAATATAATTAAAATTAGTATTTATTCTTAAAATAAAAATTATTTATTAATATATAGAGTAATATTGTATCTAATGCAGAAAATAAATAAGATCTAAATTTCCCCAGCTATGAGTTCCAATTACGTTTCAGAATAACTCAAAATAGATTTTCCTCTCCCCTATCAACAGATCCCGCAAATCATCTCAACACCAAACTTGACGTTCGGAGCGTGTGTAGCGTGTGTAGCAATATTTTTTACCGGCAAATCGACTATAAAAAGATCTTCTCTGCTCATTTGACATTCAGTCTTTTCATTTCTGTGTGTCTCACATTGTTCTCTGTTGTTCAGCGGGTCCAACGTAATATTACCAAAGGTATGTAAATACTCGGCAAATTGGATTTGTTTGTTTTTCGTGCAAAGTGTTATTGTTTTTAAATATTTAATTAAAGTTTAGTCACTTGTTTTGACATAGAATTTATTGTAGACAAATTTCTTAGCAGCTTTAGCGCTTAAAGCCAACAAAGCTCTCTCAATCCCGCTTCTGCACTCACAGCTGCAATTTAAGTTGATCTCAATACAGTAACTTCTGTAATTGCATTATCAATTTAGCACTAGAATTGCGTACATATACAAGTATATGTACATAATTAATAAATAAAGCACTATATTGTAGATACATATACATGTTTTAAAGGTAGAGTAGGTGCCTCATTTACCCTCAGCATTTCAACTGAGCATATACCTATAATACAAACATATATAAATATATGAGGTAGTATGTGAGTATTCAAAAGCGTGATCGCCAAAATGATTTATTCTGTTAGAGTACTATAAATCTTGTGGTTCATGCTATGGGTTATTGCTTCCTTTACTCATAGGCAGTGTTCGTCTAATCTCTCGTTTTTCTAGAATGCAAATTTTTTAGAAATAATTTAGAAAATTTTTCATGTTTTAGGGTCTATCAAAAGCATTGTTTTCCATAGAATATAGTCAACAGAAACCTCAACAAGAAAAGTCGTTAACTTCGGCTGCAATGAAGATACCTTTACAGGTTCATTTCTTATATGTAGCATAAGAGGGTATAAGAGGGTCTTTATCTTGATTTTGATCGGCCAAATTGTATGGCAGCTTATAACATAAACTTAGCTCGTCACGCTGATCATTTTTATAAGTATAGTATATATACTTAATACGGTCTCCGAGCAAACTTAATATAACCTGTTCAGGGTATAAAGATGTAGGTCGTCTTGCTGTTGTAGTTATTATGTTGTAACATAAAAGTTATAATAGTGGTTTCAGTTTTTGTTTACATCGATAGCTCGGTTCTAGACTAAAACACTTCTGTTTTTTGTATGAGAAGAAATAAGAACGATAAAAAATTTCACACAGTTTAAAAATCCGACAGCATATTCGAATTTATTGTCTTATACAATATCTAATCTATTCTGAGCCAACCAAAAGATATTTAACATATTTTTAAACCTTTTTTCAATCGACATTTCATATTTGATATTTTTAAGCAGCAGATAACAAGCTTTCTCGATTCTTAAGACTATCTAACATAGATAACATAAATGACGATGAACATGTGGGCCAACCAAAATCCGTGATCACCGAAAATTCCATCAAACTGTGCGTGAATTCATGAAAAATTGTATAACTCAGTTCTCTTGCGGTACAATCTACTAGATTCTACTAGAATATCTTAAAAGTGATCGCTAATCAGCTTTTGCTCGTTGAAGGGGAAGTAAAAAACTAATTACTTTCAAGTTCAAGTCTGCAACATTAGTAATGGAAATTAATATATTATGAGTTAGATAGTAGTTTGATCTGTTGCCAAAAGTTGCAATATAACTAATGGATTGTGCAGTTCTAAAGCCGCTGAAAGCTTGCTGCCATTGAACGAAGACGAGTTTATTAATTAAGATCAAGTTCTTGTATGGAAAACTTTTTTATTTGACAAGATATCTTCATAAATTACTGTCCAAGACAACGCTATAATCTCCGAACAAATTGTTCAGATCGGACCACTATAGCATATTACTTCCATATAAACTGACTGATCAAAATATAAAACGATCATTTTCATAAAATGTATTTAATTTTATTATTTATATCAAACGTGATTAGAAAGAACTGTCAAAAAGTTTTCCTTTGGTTCCAAACCATTGACCGGTTACGTTTTCATATTTATTTATAAATACATAAGTTGCTATAAAAAGTGCATCGGTGAGGGGTATTACAGTTTCTACGTTAACGTTTTTTCTGGTTTTACTTAACACGAACTTGAAAGAATTTTGTAGTATTTTAACGCTAAACAATCATAAGGCAAGGCCGATGTAATCATATCCATATGTCCAATTTTCATTTAGAAAATTCTTATTATTCTGTAACAAATCTTTTGTATAAAACTGACCTTAAAAAATTTTACGGATTAATGACCTCAAGAATTTCATATTCATTTCGAAAGCACAAAAAATTAAATTTATTCTTCAACGATTTTCACAATGTTTTGTTCAATACAAACATCTGTTTTAAGAGGTTAACTCTGATAAACTGCGCAAGTTGTTGTTTAACAAAAAAAACCATGACTTTGTAAATAAATAACAGGGTAAAATATCGATGAACTTCGACGTTGGATGAATATTATACAAGTATAATATCAGTAAACAAAGATAAGATTTATGAAATAAAATTTGTCTTACCGTCTGGAAAAATATAAAAATATGCTAAGTTTCTTACTGATTCCCAAATTTTTGTTATACTTGTATCTTCCTAACACAGATGTCTTACAAAATTGAACCATTGCCCAACTCTTATGCCCACCTCGGTGAAGGTCCCCACTGGGATATTGAAACGCAGAGTCTCTACTATGTTGATATTGAAGCTGGCAAAATTCTGCGCTACGACTACCAGGAGGATAAGGTGTACCATAGCAAAGTTCAAGATGTCGAACTCGCCTCCTTCATTGTGCCGGTCGAGGGACAAAGTGACAAATTTGTTGTTGGAGATGGTCGTCGTGTCCTCGTCGTCACATGGGATGGTGTTTCGCCGACAAGCAAGGTAGACCGTGTACTCTTCGAAGTTCAACAAGACGAGCAGTATATTGTTAATCGTTTTAACGATGGCAAAGCTGATCCACGTGGACGTCTTTTTGCCGGCACAATGCGTTATGTCGGCGATGAGTTCAAAGATCGCTGGGGTGAATTATACAAGTATGAAAAGGGTGGCAAGGTGTCGGTAGTGAAGACGGATGTCGGCATCTCCAATGGTTTGGCATGGAACGAGAAGACAAATAAGTTCTATTATATAGATACAACTGATTATGAAGTGAAGGAATATGATTATGACTTTGATGCTGGTGTACCAAGTAAGCACGCGCTTGTTCTAATTTGAGAAAGTCTTCACTACAAATATTTGTATACTTATTAATTATATTTATTAATTTAGCTAAACCGAAGGTCGTTTTCAATTTGCGTCGACCAAATCCAAAGGACAATGTATTGCCTGATGGTTTGACCATAGACAGCGATGGTAATCTCTATGTGGCCACCTTCAATGGACACACCGTATACAAGGTCAACCCAAGGTTAGTATATGTTGACACATCTAACTAATAAATACTGATCTTTCTTATTATTTATTTCTATTTAGCACCGGCAAAGTGCTCTTGGAAATTAAGTTGCCTACCAAGCAAATAACGTCTGCGGCCTGGGGTGGTCCCAATCTCGATATCTTATATGTAACAACATCAGCCAAATTTGATCAACCAGCACCGGCTGGCACCACTTACAAAATCACCGGCTTGGGCGCCAAGGGGTTGCCTATGACAAAGGTTCAACTATAATCATACACAGTTATATTATGTGAACATTTTTTATACGTTTTCATATTAAATTTTTCCATAAAAAGTACAAACCTGCATTTTAAAATTGCTCAAGTCAAGATTTATGTACTCTCACAATAGTTTTGTTCACCTAACGGTTGTTTTTAACACCTGAAACAAATCGAGATTTTATTGGAGGAGGAGTTTTCTGTTAGGAGCTCGCCGTCAAAGGTTACCAGACCGCTGTAGGGGTTTTCAAGCAGAAGTGGCTGCCATTAAGATAACAGTATACGTATTGCTCCGAAGTGCAGTATCTTTCTCTCCGACAGCAGAGTGCCAATACTAGCGATGAGCGCGCTCCCTGTGCGTTCAAAGTTAGTTTGTCAAGGGTGTCTGTCCTCACTATCAATAGCATTAAGCTACTTCATTTGGATGCCTGGCCAAAGCGGAATCGCTGGAAACTGCAAGTTACACTTACATCGGAGTGGGAACGAGATGGGTATCTGTTTGCTCTAGCGCTGGACCTATGGACCTCGTACGCTTAGCAGGCATCGGTCAACGACAAGTTTCGGTGCTACTGCAAGATCCTCCTGGCTTAGAATAGAACGTAGAAGATCAACTGAACTTATTACTCTTAGCAAGGTTCATTTAGCCGCAGTTGTAGGAGTACTTACTGCACATTGTCAAAAAGCAATTCATGACGAAAGCTTAAACATTTTATCAGACGGAAAATGTCAAAGTTGGTTGGGGAAGGTAAGGTGGAAACATTTAGCCACTTACTTCTACATTGTCCAGCTATTTCAAAACTGAGATTAAAACATCTCGGCTGTCGTACCAGGAGAGAGATGGCCGAAACTGATATGAGCTGCCTAAACAATTTTTTGATAGGCTCAAGGCGCTGACTCGATTAATGAGGGTCTTTATGATCAATATATACATAGAAGTTTTAGGTATTACAATGGATCGACGACTATGCTGGCCAAATGATAACATTGTTGGCGTTTGTAACAGGATCGACCACTTAACCCAACCTAACCTAACCTAAGTCATAAATTGAAAAATATGCCAGAAGCATAAAATTTTTCAATAAAGAAAGTACAGAAGGGTTTTAAAGTTAATTTAAGAGAATTCAACTTAACTTGGTACACAACACTAACTTGGCATCATTATATTACATATAAATAGGCGAAATCGTGCTACAATCACGCCTACTTCCACTTTACAATATATAAATCAAGCACCGAAGAAGATATCGCAATTTAACATCGCCCAAAGAGTGCCTTCACGAAATCTCGTCTAAAAATTATCGAAATCGAACTATGAATATAGACACGCAGATACCGAATAGTGAAAATATCAGTTAGGTCTGTGAGATATATTATTGAAATTCAGAGAACATCTTTTACTGATAATGATGTGTCTTTGTACCGAAAACGGTTTAAATCGGGGTAATACTTCTCTTAGTCCACATATACCTAACATAAGAATTTCGGGCTGTCGGCAGATTTTATGGCATATACTACTTGTATTGTATATCGGACACTATGTGAGGTATCTCAATGAAACTCAGAGAACAACTTTTTCTTACAAATTGAGATTATTCCGGATACTTTATTAGTAGAAATGTTATTATCGTATGAACAAACAAAATTAAATGGAGGGGCGACTATTTTTGAGTTGGATTTTTGACTAATTTTTTAACTTAGTGGAATTTTTTAGAAATATTAATAATTATAAATTTTAAACTTATTGGTTCATACAGTTGAAAGATATTTAGAGAATATACATGTCGAATTTCAAGTAAATCGACTGATTAGATTTGAGATATTGTGCCGACCACATCGCAAAAGGATAAAGTTAAGACTAAATTGTCGACTATAAGTCTGTGAATTAATAATTAATAATAATATTTAAATTATCGAAATATAAAAAAGAATGTTGATATTTTCAAATTTCTAGACTGGAAAACCCTTTTAAAATGCACAGCAAATAAATGCGCATTTATTTTAAAACTATTTGTTGGCATTTCTGCATCGTGTGTGTCTACGAACAGCTGATTTCGGCGATTGCAAATCCATTGGCTATATGGTATATAATAATACATACTTACAAGTATATGTATATGGTACATAGTTGTGTACCAGTGCACATCAACTTAACACACCTCCTTTTTTATTTCAAAATCCGGCCGGCAAATTTACACGCTTATGCAAATGTACATATGCATTTACGTACAACTAAAGCATTGGCCCAGCAGTATAATAAATTATATATGCCAACTAATCTAAATAAAACAAGAACTCATAAAGAATTATTTTTGAACTTTGATAATTAAACTAATCATGTAGGCAATTAATTAAAATGTCGTTAAAACAATTAGAAAATATGTATGAGTAATAATAATAACGCTAATCATAATATTTTCTTCCAATTTTTGCAAATTCAAAAAAAAATTCGCAATACATATGTTAAGCGCGATTAAAACATACGTTATAAACCCAGTAGACAATAGAACGTTTTCGGGTATTTTTTTGAAAATTAAGAAGATTGATACGTCGGAGACCTTATATGTACATATATGCACACGTACTTTTCTCGGAAGCTGCTTATTTGTCGGAACCGCCGTTATCGGAGCACTATAGGTTATAGCTGCCGTATAAATTGATCGATCAAAATGAAGTCCTTGTATGGAAAACTTTTTTATTTGACAAGATATCACGAAATTTTGTACAGATTATTATCCAAGACAACGCTACAATCTCCGAACTATTGCTCAGATCGGATAACTATACTTGTAGCATATAGCTGCCATACAAACTGATCCATCGAAATCAAGATAAAGATCTTTTTATACCCTTTCATGCTATAAAAAGATTCACTTGTGAAGGGTATTAGAGATTAAAGGTTTTCTTTTTATTATAAAAGAGCTTTATTGTGTGCTACAAGTAGTTCAATATATTCACTGCCAGGGCAAAAGATTTAATGATTAGAAGAATTCATTCTTCTGTCATAAATTCTTAATATTTTGAAACCGAAATTATGCAATTCCTTTGTGATGGGTACATTTATATTAGATCATCTGCATGGTCATATTAATAAATTATTTTCATTTATTTATGTATATTTTTAATCAAAAACATAACCAAAGGTCAAGCCTGAGACATTGCACGCAAACAACAAACTGAAGATACCCGTATCTTCAGGAAAAAAAAAATAACTAGAAGTTCTTGATTTGTGGCTATTTTTCGAAGGCTACAAATAGAGTTGCCAACATTTCTTTTTTATATATTGGAGGTAATTATATAACAAAATCTTCTGAATCCTCCCGATCGACCCAAATTTCCTTCGTTTTCCGAGTGAATTTCTTCTATATAAATATATGGATATGTGTCGTAATCAAATATAAATATATATGCAGATATATAATATATTTATAATTTCCTTCACTCATAATACACATGCTTGGTACTCGCTTATCAAAAGGAAGCGACTTGAGCAAACATTCTTAAGAAACGACATAATGGAAGCATAGAGGGCGCTACCGAAATCATCTAAGCGAAGGTTCTTAAATTTAAATAAAATGAATGTTTTTTGATGGAATTGACACGTCAAAAAAAAGAGTAAAAAAATTCCAAATTCATTTAAAGAGTGTTACAAATTATATAAGAAATCTCAATTTCATATTTTTCATTATCTACCAAACCTTTTGGTGCTTTTAAATAGCTTTTTGCTTAAATTTTATTTTTAGAAACCATTCTGTAACTAATAAAATATTATAAAAAATTTTATATTAAAAAAAAAATTGATTGTTTTATTATTTCATATTTAATATTTAATAAAAAAATCAAGGATTTTTGTTCAATGCATTCTATGGTTTCCTTTAATTACAATATAATTAAAATTAGTATTTATTCTTAAAATAAAAATTATTTATTAATATAAGAAAAAAATTCAAACAAATATAATTATTTTGTAATATTGTATCTAATGCAGAAAATAAATAAGATCCAAATTTCCCCAGCTATGAGTTCCAATTACGTTTCAGAATAACTCAAAATAGATTTTCCTCTCCCCTATCAACAGATCCCGCAAATCATGTCAACACCAAACTTGCCGTTCGGAGCGTGTGTAGCGTGTGTAGCAATATTTTTTACCGGCAAATCGACTATAAAAAGATCTTCTCTGCTTATTTGACATTCAGTCTTTTCATTTCTGTGTGTCTCACATTGTTCTCTGTTGTTCAGCGGGTCCAACGTAATATTACCAAAGGTATGTAAATACTCGGCAAATTGGATTTGTATGTTTTTCGTGCAAAGTGTTATTGTTTTTAAATATTTAATTAAAGTTTAGTCACTTGTTTTGACATAGAATTTATTGTAGACAAATTGATTATGCTAGCAAACCGTGTATGAAAATTCCTTAACAAAGCTTTAGCGCTTAAAGCCAACAAAGCTCTCTCAATCCCACTTCTGCACTCACAGCTGCAATTTAAGTTGATCTCAATACAGTAACTTCTGTAATATCATTATCAACTTAGCACTAGAATTGCGTACATATACAAGTATATGTACATAATTAATAAATAAAGCACTATGCATATTCTAGATACATATACATGTTTTAAAGGTAGAGTAGGTGTCTCATTTACCCTCAGCATTATTTCAACTGAGCATATACCTATAATACAAACATATATAAATATATGAGGTAGTATGTGAGCATTCAAAAGCGTGATCACCAAAATGATTTATTCTGTTAGAGTACTATAAATCTTGTAGTTCATGCTATGGGTTATTGCTTCCTTTACTCATAGACAGTGGTCGTTAAACTTTTCAGAACAATATATAACCTATCATTATTAAAAAGAAAACTTAAAAATCAGTGAAATTTAAATACTGAATACAATTTTGTAATTCAAATATATTAACATGTTTGTATGTAGATTTATTTCTCTTACTGTTTTTTCGAGTTTTTCTATAATACAAATTTTTTAGAAATAATTCAGAAAATTTTTCATGTTTTATGATCTATCAAATAGCATTGTTTTCCTCAGGACCTAAGTGTTATGCATCGTATTGATATTGTAGA